TCATTACAAAAAATGTACAGGAGAATCTTTGAGTTTTTTTTCTATCACCTCATTTACATGGACTGCATACTTGAGTTGCCTCGAGTGCAGCCTGAGCTAAAGAGTGGCTTAAGTTGGTAAAACATTTTTTTTATGTTTCCATGATTTTCTGAGTTGTAGAATTGGACAGCTTATTGCTGTAAATATAAAGTAAAACCACATGAAACTGGAATTCGGGGTAAGCTGGACAGACTAAATTATCAATTTATTAAATGCTAATTTCCGAGCAGGTTGCTTAAAGTCAGGTCTCTGTGGTGTATGCAACTGGTTGCAGAGCCATCCTCCATATGTCAGCAATCTAGTCTCATACAGTATTCCCTTTTCACGAGGGATACCTTTCGGAATTGCTTGTCAGTAGAACATTTTGCGGATATTGGCCTACGAATATCGTACGTGCAACATATGCAGATGTTTCTAAAGCTTCGAGAAGTAATCTCTCATCACTTTTATCTCATCACTTATCTCATTGCAGTTGTGCAGAGTTCCAAATGAGATTACAAAATCCCAGATAGCAAGTTCATGAGCAACGAGGGAAAAACCGCATGAGCAAGTTGCGCAACTGATCACGCGAGTGTGGAGATAGTTTAAAGTGATGCAGGGTTTTCCTATAACTAGTTTATGGGCAAGTGAGAGCCCAAAGGTTGCAAAGGAGACCCGGGAGAAAAACTTGTCATCAGCAATGATACTGGTAGGAACGAAGTGGACCAGCCACCAATAGATTATTTCGTCCGTCCATCCGTGTAGCAACATCGCCCCCTACTGCAAACACTTGGCATGACCCTACAAAAACCTTTAGACTCAGTGACGCTTTCCTGGTTAAACAAGTGTAACATTCCCTTATAATTCCCTCAGATAGCTTTTAATTAAAACATTTAAATTATGAGGCTTTCCTGGCTAAACACGTGTAACATTCCCTTATAATTCCCTGATAGCTTTTAATTAAAACTTTGAAAATAAAAAAAAACTCAGCGCCCTAAAGCCTACAGCTAGGCCTAACGCCTAGAACTAGGCCTCAATCTCTCCCTTCGTATCGTCCGATTAGGTGTAGCAACATCGCCCCCTACTGCAAACACTTGGCAGGACCCTACAAAAACCTTTTGACTCAGTGGGGCTTTCCTGGCTAAACAAGTGTAATAATACATTGTTTACATTCTTTGGTTATTCGTTCCTACCAGCCCACCCCACAGGGTCCTGTTAAGTCCACTCCTTGATGTAGGCTTCCCCCACCTCTCATGGTCTCGCAATGATGGAACAATCCTTGCTCCAGCACGTGAACCGATTGAAACGCTCCACCTACGTGGTGGATGTCCTCTGTGATATTCCCTCCCCACAAGCATTCCATATAAAAATGTCACCGCTTGAGTACAAAATTGTCTTTATTAATGTCGTGGGCTTAAAAAAATATTAATACCAAGTAAATGCATTCTTTAACAAAAAAACGAAATACACCATTACTGCATGCATGATAAATCTCAATTGTAAGAAATGTCACGAATATAAAACACTGAAATTGTCTCGGAACAGAAAACGAATGGTGGCAAAAGCGCTGCTCTTGCAGGAATTTAACTCGAATCCAACACTTTCTGGACTTGAGAATACCCATCGCAGGAGAATGCATGCAGGTTGGAGATAAGTAGATACACATACATGCTCACAAACAGCAGAATCGTAAGGCACGACTTCCATCGCCTTGCGTGCGTGCGTGCCATGCCGCCACGTTTCATGTGTACAATGCTCTCTAAGGCTTGCCGGCCACATTTGGATCTTGAGCTGAGAGCAGTTATTTGAACGTATTGGCGGTACACCGATGCAGCATAATGCACCGGTCCTCATAAAACAGTCTAAAAATCTAAATTTAAATTAGCAAATCTGTTCATCAGTCTTCAATTGACACTTCGAAGGCTTATTCAATCTACTAATAAAGGTCTATTGCCCCGTTGATTTGGGTCCGTCGAATTGAAGAACGTCAAGCACACAAGTCAAATCTGCCTTTGAAACATGGAGCAAGCCATTCGTCATCAGCTTGGGCGCTGCTATTTGGCAACGGACTGAATCTTCGTGTTCAGCCACTTGTAACGTTTGTGGTCTTCCGACCACTTTGACATCGCAAGAGCTGATTTTGATGCACACCCCTGAAGATGTGAAAACATAAATAATGATTGCAATTTTTTTTACGCTCATTTCATATACCGCGCAGCGTACCGCTAATACGTTCATCTCGAGGAGCTAAACTTAAGCCGAGGTTCACAGTTGAATCTGCAATGGGCCATTCTCATCTGCTGAGGTATACACATTAACAAAGCGGAATAAAACGGCACCTTTTAGCTGTCTTGGGGAGTCGCGTGAACTAACCCGGCAGGCCTGTGGCCACAGCGTTTACAGCAACACTTTGCAACTTATACCAATGGAACCTCATTTGGCAGTAAAAAAATATGATAATTGTTTTTTTACCCTTTTATCTGGCAACAAAACTGACACATTTTTTACAAGGAGTCATGTTTGCATAGACCACAATACCTGCAGTCATTATGCAGAGTTATGTTTTTTGTGTGCATTATGACTGCAGGTATTGTGGTCTATGCAAACATGACTCCTTGTATAAAAGCTGTCAGTTTTGTTGCCAGATAAAAGGGTAAAAAACAATAACACTTTGCAACTTGTACAGCAGCACTTGTGAATCCAATGCTGCATGAGAGCCGCGTGAGTTGTGCAGAGGTATTTGACAATACTTCACCACGCCGGTCAGTGAAGGTGGGGAGTGTTGGTGAAGGAGCGTAGAAAGAGCACAATAATATCCCGATGTACATCTTTCCCCCCACCCTTTACGTCGTCATTATGAATACCAACGTCCGATTTTTGTCGCCTCAACCTCACACCCACACGTCGCCTCTCGCTACCCTGTAAACCGCTTTGATTTAGATCGTTTCGGTATTTGTCTTCGCACCTTTCAGGAACGCACCCCCCCCCCCCCCCTCGTAAACTGGGGTTATATTACTGAATGACAATAGCTTATGCTGCATTGCCCAAAATGGCTCCACAGCTTCTAAGAACTGTTATGCATGGCGGTCACCAACCCAAAGCACTTTCCAGGCTCAAACCTGCTTGGCATCTGAAATATGATGAAGATCGCGTGCATTCTGGGTCATTTGGTCACAGACGGTGTATAATAAACACGTCTGTATGCAAAAATGTGTTTTGACTTTTTTTAAATCTGTCATTTAGTTCTGTTTTTCCCATTACCCTAGATGTAACAGCATAGAGTTCGCGTATTCTTTGTACGGATAGTAAATAAGAAAATTCTCTCAATCGTGATGCGACATCACGAGCGTAAGAATAAATACAAATTTTATCGATGCACCTTCACACATACCTTTTGCCCGAGGCTCACAGAGCCAGACTCGATAAAATGTTTACTCCCAAAAAATCCGGAATGTAACTATTCTCCCCTTTTCACTATCGCGAACCCTTATTTTTCTAACACTAGCAAATAGAGCGCCTTCAGTGAATCGGAATATTTATTTTTATACTGGAGGAATCCGATGAGCAACAAAGCTATTTTTCACATATCCAGTGGATTGTAGGCATCACGTGAAACTAATGTAAATATAACAATAAAAAAAATATATAATTGAGGCATGGACACGTCGGTGCAGGAGAGAGCTCTTGCAGCACTGGAGTGGCATTCGGGACCCCGTCCAAGATCACTCGCCACCGATATTAGCCGTGGCCAGGCATCGAACTCCAAAGGCTGGTAATTGGAACTCGGACCGCTGGGTTCGTAGTGCGGTGTTGTAACCGCTGTGATCACCGTTCCACCCAGGGATGACTTCCCCGTGCGGTGTCAGTTATTGAGGTTGTTTGCCTACTTCGCCACGACAGACCTTGATAGAGAGCTCGTGCATCGCAATGTAAAAAAATATCTATTTAGGAATCTTTTGTGTCGATTCTAACGCGCGTGATTTGATGTCTATCAAGCACCTTAGGAAAAGCTTAATTGATAGTTCTAGATTTGAAGCTTTCGTGACTGCAAGGATTCATACTCTTAGTTATTTCGGTAAAGTCACGTAGGTAAAAAATGAAATTAAAATTAATAAAAACAATAAAAATCACGACGTTTCGAAGGCAACACGAGCTTCCATCTTCAGGTTTTCACCTGAAGACGGAAGTTTGTGTTGCCTTCAGGCGAAAACCTGAAGACGGAAGCTTGTGTTGCCTTCGAAACGTCGTGGTTTTTATTGTTTTTATTTTTATTAATTGATAGTTATCGATGAGTCGATGAATTGTTACACATCTTACGTGTATGAAAATAATGCTTTTAACGCTACAATTAACATAAATGTGCAAATGTATAAAAAAAAAAACACGGTACGCAAGCGACAGGCAGTTAACTTAAAAGTTAAAGAAATGAAATGTACTTCATTCAGTTCAATGCACAAAGTTCAGCTTTTGGTTTTGTATTTTGGCTCGGCGTAATTACCGATGAAACGTCCACGGACAAGTAATTTTGGAGCTTATATTCTTCATTTGTTTGTCAATTTTATCCAAATTGTGCTTTTGGTGTCAAGTCATCAGCCCAATAATTCGCTATGTAACACGATTTTTGTTCCTGGGTAGTAAGTTTTATTTGTTTTTGCTTCAAAAGTATAGAAAACTTAGCTTTTGTTACCAGGACTTTATGTGAAGGAATTACACAAATGCACACGATTTTTCATTGAAAATAGGTAAATTTCAAATATCACTGTCCTGGTCACAAAAGCAAAGTTTGTGGGCAATAATAGCCATTTTCTGTACTTTTGAGGCATAAGCAATTAGAAAGTAGCACTACCCAGGAACAAAAAAAAATCATTTTTGTTACGCAGTGATATAATCTATTCAGTCGCAGATGCAGATATCGAAACGACTTCTGAGATCCCTTAAAGTGCACACGTTAAGCGGCAGCACTTTCCCACCTGTCCTGCCACGGAGTAATGTTCATCATGGGACCTCCTTTGCCAGTACCAAAATATACTAATAGGGTTTTTCCCCTTTTTTCTGGCAACAAAACTGACACCTTTTGCAAGGAATCATGCTTACATTAACTACAATACTTGCAGTCAAATCATATGAGACTAGGCTCTAAAGAAAGCTGTCTGGTGTGGACCAATCAGTTTCAAAGACAATGCATAAATTATCAGAGTATTGTTTTTTGTTTGCATTTGACTGCAAGTATTGTGGTTAATGTAAGCATGATTCCTTGCAAAAGGTGTCAGTTTTTTTGCCAGAAAAAAGGGGAAAACCCCTATTAATGTTCGTTGCATGATGGTCGAACAGATATTTTTTTAAATCTCAGAGCTGAAATTTAGCCAGATTAAGGGTCTCTGCGAGTCGCTGATGATCAGGCTGAGGGCGATAAGCTCGCTACACTTGAGAAACCTGCCTTAAAAGAACAGGCAGCTGAAATCTGCATTTGCGTTCAGGAATCTCTGGTGCTATCCCCGCGTTCTGACCTCTCGCCGATGTGGTTTTAATGAAATGAGTGCGCCACAGAACATCGGCACAGGCGCGTTGAAACTGCGTCACTATGAAATATAAATAGTCCGACCCAAATTGATAAAAAAAATATATATATGGGCCCAGGAAAACTTTCATGTGTATTAATTTTTACAGTGTAATTATAATATCAACTATTTACCAGTAAAGCCTGGCCGAGTCTCAAGTCTTCATGAGTGTCCTGCAACTTTGGGATGTTTGGCCTAACTCCGTTGAAATCCAACGGCGCCGCCATTGCTCACCCCCCACTCCCACCCCCTACCAGCACGCGCCCATCTGTTGTACGTCGATGGCGCCGCCGAGGAAATCGATTTGACGCGCCGGCGCTTGCGGTTACCGACTCGCGGCACCGTCGCCGCCGCCAACAACGTCGGTGGCCGTCGGGCCCAACCTCCCCGGCCCCCGTCCCCCTCCTTCGTCTTCCCCAGCGGCGGCCACGGCGGCGGCTTCGGCGTGCGCCAGCCACGTGTGCGCCAGCTGCCTCGCCGATCCCAACGTCGACGCCTTCGAGTTGCGGCACATGCGCAGCTGCCTCGGCTCCAACGCCGGGTCGCACCGCACCTCGTGGTGGAGGTGAGCCACGCCGGGGTCCGGGCTGCGGAACACGGCTAGCCCGCCACCGGCACCGCCGCCGGCACGAGCCGCCACCACCTTGCCGAACAAGTCGACGTCCTCGAGTCCCCAGCCCGTAATCGATGTGTCGAAACCGCCGGCACGGGCCAGGTCGGCGCGATGCAGGCAGGCGATGCCGTAGCCGAACGCGCGCCACATTCCGGCGCGATCGGAGAAGTCGAAGGGGTCGTCGTCGTCGTGGCGACCGTCGCCGTCGTCGCTCGTGGGCGAGCGGCCGCCCCCAGAGTGGACGATGCGCGGATCATACTGGCTGAAGATGACTGGGAAGTAGACTTGGCCAACCCTCCCGTCGTCGTTGGCGCTGCCGGTGGTGGGATCGACGCGACCGGCGTTGTCCCGGCAGCGCTGCAGGGCGTCGGCTGTGAAGGCCAGGTCAACGTCGCAGAAGAAGAGGAGGGCATCGCCGGGAAACTGCGACGACCCCACCTCCAGAGCCAGGCCTCGCGAAAAAGGCCCGGTCACGCTCAGCACCTCTATCTCCGCCTTCGGGTAGCGCCGGCGGTACTCCTCTACCAATGCCTCGGGTCTTCCCACCGCGTCCCCGTCGCCGCCGCCACCGCCGCCGTCGTCGCTCGAAGGGCGAAACAGCAGCAGCACCAGCTTAATGTTCTGCGGGCGAGCCAGGCACACGCGCTCAAAGTTCTCCATGAACCTGACAAACGCCTTGTACCGCCCGGCCAGCGGCACCAGCATGTGGATCCTCTCCCGGCTGGGCCCGGCGGCCGCCAGCACCGCCTCAACGGGGGTGCGGCCGAACGGCGCGAAGAGCCCGAGCGAGTTCGATAGCTTCACCGCGAGCAACGAACCGTCGCCGGCATTACCGCCGGCGATACCGCCGCCGTCGGCCGAAGCGGCGGCAGCTGCGGCGGCGGCGCTAGCGTCCACGGCCGCGGCGAACTCGGCGGCTTGCATCTCGCGCTCCTCGGCGAATTCGGCGCGGCCGAACGTCTGCTGCAGGTAGGCGTGGCGGCGCACCGGCACGGCGGCGCGCTTGCCCTCGCTGCGGCGGTACGTCATGAGGACGTCCAGCACGTAGTCGGCGCCGTGCAGCGGGTTGACGCGCGCGTAGCCGTACAGGATCTCGCGGAAATCGATGGCTCGCCGGCGCGCCCTAGCGCGGGCGTCGATCATTTCCATGAGCTGGGCCACGACGGTGCCGTCAAGCGCCGAGCGGAGGGCGCCGCCGCTCAGGGCTTGGCGGGGGCCCTGGGCGCCGGCGCGCGCCGACCAGAGGTGCGTGCCGGTGAAGAAGTCCCACTCGAGCACGTGCTGGCGGTCGCGCGGGTGGAAGCGCATGAAGGAGGGCGAGGCGCCAAGGCGCCGGTCCTCTGACGACACGTCCAAGGCGGCGCTGGCTTCGTCGTCGCCGCCGTTATCGAGCAGCTGCTGAGCCTCCGTCTGCGTCGGGTAAGATATAATAATAACGTTTTAATGAATACAAACTCAACACGCCTCTCTCCGCCGTGCTTTCCGCGTCGTACCGCGTGAAGCGCGCCGTGACGTCTGATGTTACGCGCTCCACGCACTGGCAGCTTCAGGAACTGATTTTTTTTTACATTTTATTTATCTCGACAAAAACTGAAGACAGCTCTGTGATAAATGATGAAATTACTGAAATACAGCCCCTCTGAAATAAATAGATTCAGGGAGTAAACTGAAGAAACTTAATTTACTATTAATCGAAAACAGCCCTAATACGGCAAGGTCCTCATTTATCGCGGTAGATGCGTTCCTGAAAAGTGCTACGCTGTGCAAAAAACGCATTTTAACGAAAATATTTCCGCATAAATAACGATAAAGTTTGCAGAGATACTACTACGCATACGCAGCGAGATGGCGGGGCAAATAATGGAGGGTACGCTGCTGCTGTGCTGTATCATTCCGCGTACTGTATCACTGTACCGCTCAGCTGTGCAGCTCAAGAAAGTAGTTCATCGTCGACCACGAAGAAACCGCATTATAACGGTGCACGCGTTTCACGTGTTTCCTCGTGCAAGAGACGCGTTATAGACAAAACGCGTTGTGTGAACACCACGCGTTAAGCAAGGACTTACCGTGCGTATATTTTTGTTATATACATATACACATCTTCTTGGTTCTTTCGGTAAAGTCACGTAGAAGGGAAATAAGAAAATAATAAAAATAAAATATAATAAAATAATTCTCAAGACGTTTCGGCCACAACGCAAGCAGCCGTCCTCAGGTGAAGAACAGGTCTGTCGGAAAGACAGCGTCTGAATGAACACCACCAAGCTTGGCAGCGTATATTTAAGCTTTATTATTTTATTATTTCCCTTCTATGTGATTTATTTATTATTTCCCTTCTACGTGACTTTACCGAAAGAACCAAGAAGATGAATCCCTGCAGTCACGAAAGCTTTAAATCGATACATATACACACATTAGGTGTCGTTTTTTTAAATAGATGTTACGACGATGGGTGCAACTTGGCACGTGCCGAAGACCGTACCCTCCACCCCGTCTCACCGCAGTCTGCAGGATCTGCCGGTGCAGCTCGATGGTCTTGTGGCGCAGCTCTTGGGCACGTGAAGCGAGCAGCAGCGAGTGCAGGCGGTACTGGTACGCGGGGCGCTTGTTGGGGTGCAGAGTGATGGCGCGGTGCAGTTTGCTCGCCGGCAGATCTTGGATGTAGCCGCGCTTGTTGCGTTCGTAGTGCTCGTAGAACAGCTGCTGCATCTGCGGTGGGAGCGGCGAGATGGAGTAGACATGGCGGTGAGGGCGGTGAGCAGAGGTCGCAAACGGGTTTTGATTCCTTACCCGTACCCGGCCGCACCAGGGTCGCAAACGGGTACCCGTACCCGGCCGTACCCGTACCCTACCCGTACCCGGCCGGGTACGGGTAGGGTACGAGTATCGGGTCACTGATTCCGACCTCTGGGATGAAGCCATGTTGCAGGCGCGGGTGGGTTGATTCTAGGAACTTGAATCATAAGTGACGGAGTTAATTTTGGGTAAAATCAATGAAAATGGGGTATGCCGATAGCATAAAAATGAGATGTGATAGAGCAAATCTGAGATCAGATTTGGAATCAGCACCCTGAAATTAGTCTAAAACAGCTGCAAAAGTCCAGGCCAGAAACTTTTTTTTTGTTGACCAGTGTTAATGGAGGCTCAAGCTCCCTCCTGTCCCATCCTCAGCCGACTTTCTGACCCTACAATCATCAGCTCCGTCTAGGCCAGTTCTGCTGCATCCATGCAGCTACCTCTGCCAGACAGTCTGTTAAGTTAAGCAGGCGAGAGCTGCAGCTGGGTTACCTGAGAAGGAGACATATGGGTGTCATCGGCGTTACTGATGGCACTGAAACCCGTGCCTTCGGATGACAGTTCCCAAGCAGCCTAACGTAGGCACTGAATAAAAGGGGAGATAAGACTGACTGCTGAGGGATACCGTGAGGGGAGGGTCTAGGGGGGGACACATGGGGACCCAAGGCCATCTGCTGGGTCCTGTCCTGCAGAAAAGATCCAATCCACTGTTCGATGACTAACCATCGATGGCTATCCATCGAACAAAGACGTTCACTGCATCGCGCTCTTTCAGATGCGCTTCTGCGGCTGTCTGGAACGCTCTTCCTTTGTGATATTAGAAAGCCACTGCAGCTATGCGCTTTTAAATATTGAATGAGAACGATGTAAAGAAGCTCAACATACATAGAGAAAGAGTGAATACATATCTTTAGCTGAGCAAGGTTGTCAGAACTTGGGATGATGGGAGGACATTTTTAAGTTAAGTAATGTGTTTGGGAAAAAGGCAGAAAGATAAAGTGTTTGGACCTGTAGTGTAGTGGTTCAACACACTATGGATGAGATGAATCAATCTGGCTCATAGACCAAGTCCGAGAAGATGGGTGGCTCAGGCTAGAGGGCTGAGCTGGCACTGCTGAGACGCTAGGTTTGATTCCAGGTTTCAACTTTGTGTAATTAAACCGGGTTTACATTTTTTGTGAGCTGAGAAATCTTAGCCTGGTCCACCCGATGACTGTACAAAAAAAGCCATTGCATAAAATTAATCTTTGCACTTAATACGGCTAGATTCCAGCTCTCGATATGAACATCAGGTGGGATCATGCAGCAAACATTTCTCTCAACGACAGGGCAAGTGGGAAAGTGCTGCCCCAAATATGTGGACCAGATGTCACCTCATTCCAGATTGAAACTCATTTCTACACTGCTTGTGTTTAGTGTGTTGTCCTTCCCACGCACATCCGATTAGCACGCTTGGCTATGTATGGTGTGAGTCAGGGGCGGTTTCTTCATTAGGGCGATTGGGCGACGCACCACCAATCTCAGCCGTTACTGTGCCTCTGGATATAGTCCAATCAGCGTCATGTCACGTTCTGTGGAGTACCGCCTCTTTTTGGGCGATTTCACTCCGGCTGAGAATCGCCCCGAGTGTTCCCATAGACTTACATTCAAAGATGTTTTTTTTCGAACGGCGGGCGCTGCAATGCATTCTCTACGGCTTCCGGGAGGGCTCGCACTAACGTGCTTACGTCATCATACGTGCTTACGTCATCATACGTAAGCACGTTTCAGTCAACAATATTATTTGTCGCCACCTAGTGGAATCTTTAATAGAAGAAACTGAGTGGATTGTAATAATAGTGAGTATAGAAACAAACAAGGAGATGTATTGTAAGAGTCACTTTATTTTTCATTAATATTAAAGTAGTGAAGTTGCCTTTACATGCTTAAGCTGTTAATTTATCCATTGCATGGGTGGACCTTATCCCTATCAATCATCCAGACATTTGCCCCCCCTGAGAGATTTTGCAGGAGCCGCCACTGGTACGAGTTCAAAAACATACAAACTAACATACACCCGAAGGGCTCTAATAGGTAGTAGCACTGCACTACGAATCCAGAAATCTGGGTTCCATTCCCGACCATGGCTCACAGTTGCACGTGAACCGGTCTCAACATGTTCATTGCCCGCAACACCATTGGCACGTCACGGCACGGCTTCTCTGCAGCGGGAAAACATGCTGGGATCTTTAGATTTAAAGCTTTCGTGACTGCAGGGATTCTTCTTCTTGGTTCTTTCGGTAAAGTCACGTAGAAGGGAAGTAATAAAATAATAAAAATAAAACATAATAAAACATTTTGCAAGCAGAATTTTTATTATGTTTTATTTTTATTATTTTATTACTTCCCTTCTACGTGACTTCACCGAAAGAACCAAGAAGATGCTGGGATCTCCCCGAGGCCGTGCAAGGCGCAGCTGGTATTGTGCGAGCGTAAAAAGTGGAATTGTCATCTCGGCACCACCAGACACATTCCCACATTTCGCAAGCTGAATTTTTTGGCCAGACAGCGAGGGCATGGGCCCAAACCACTGCTGCCACCACCCGCAGCCGCTGTTGCTTCCAACTTGGAAGAGACAGCGGTGCTTTTTTGGAAAGCATCTGGATCATGATCATTGCCAGGAAAAAACCTCTGGTGACAAATGCCTCGTTATGAAACCGACTTCTTATGCATGGGGGGAAACTTGGGCTCAGTATCGTGTGTCGGTCAAACTGGCAAAATATATTTTTAGGCGAAAAGAAAACAAATCTAGGCGTAGAGTATCGGCGTATCAGGCGGTTGTCTTTCTCAGTTTAACACGTAGGCTTTCGCGACCAATGTTATTCATAATCAACGTTTTTGGGTTTAGATCGCGTTTATTTATAAATGTGTCGTATATAATTACAATAACTCCCCCCTTGAATCTTGGCACCTGATGAGTTAATGATGACGTCACCCTGCTGCTGCTCTATATAAGAACGGGAGACACAGGAGAACCTCACCATTCTGGCGAATTGCCCGATGATGCTGGTTGCAATTACCAGCGAAACGTCGTACTCAAATTGTAAATGTTGTGGCTTCAACACACCGGTGGGCTAAAGCAGTGAACTATTTGTCTTTGTCAACGTGACACTTTTTTACTGATTGGCCGTGTCGGGTGGTGGAGGGTTACGACACATTCATAAATAAACGCGATCTAAACCCAAAAACGTTGATTATGGGTTGTCTTTCTGTACACTTGGACATTTGTGTAGACAAAGGGATCGATGAATATTGCCAGGAAAACCCCTGGCGTCAAATGCCCCATTCCGAAACAGACTTCTTATGCATGGCGAAACTTCAGATTGCTATCATGTGTGGGTCTAACTGCCAATTTTTTTTTTCGGCGAAAAGAAAGATAATCTACGCGTACAGTATCGACATTGTCGGGCAGATGTCCTTTTGCACAGACAATGGAGAAGAAATGGATTCGTCAAATTCTTTAGTGTTTTTGTTTGGGTCAGACGGTGTCGGTACGATGTCAATTTAAGCTGTGGCCAGCCGATACGGCCAGGTTGTCAACGCGGACACATTTACCAACTTGCTTTTTTGTTTCGCTTTTGGAAAGCGAAGGGGAATTGGGCAGTTATAGTACCACGTTTCGCTGAAGAGTACACCCAGCATGGTCAGGTAGGGTAGCCAGAGCTCACATCTCGAGTGAATGCGCTTCCTAATCCGCGTCCCTCAAGTAGGTGGCCTTGAAGACATCAGAAAAACCACGCAGTTACAAAAATTTCGAATTTGCTCACTTTTGTAAAATGCCGGTTTGCTGTAAGAATACAAATCAATTGGCACATGACCCATCTGCCAACTTGATGTGTTTGTCTTTGTTGGCTTTTTGTGTCTAGTTTGTTGTCCTTCCCCCGCAAGACCAATTCGCAGAGGTTGGCCACATACGGTTCGAAATAAGTTCAACATACAGACACACATAGGTTAGATGGTGGAGGGATTATCGCTCTCATTGACATTACAACTGCACAAGCCGAGCCAAAATAAACCAAGTATAAACTATATGCTTGGTTCTTTCGGTAAAGTCACGTAGAAGGGAAACAATAAAATAATAAAAATATAAAACAATAAAAAAGAACCAAGAATGTGAATCCCTGCAGTCACGAAAGCTTTAAATAAAAATTTAATTATAAACTGTTTAACATTCCTCTAGTGTTTAACATTGACTGTGGAATACACCCCTGAGTTTTGGTTCTATGTCACCCCCTCCCCCTTTAAACAATTTCAAGTTTACGGCTGAGCTCAAGCAGTAGAATTTCACCTAAAGAACTTACTGATCTCGTCGCATAATTCATCGCGCAAACTATGGATGTTCAACTTCTTTCGCACCGTACGTAGCCGGTCAGCCACGCAGCGGCTTTTGGCTCACCATCGAACAGAGACGCTGGTCGTCGCATCGCGTGCTTTCATGCGCGCTTCTGCGGCCTCCTGGAAATCTCTTCCCTTCCCACATTAGGAAGCCACTGGAGCTATGCACTTTTAAATATAGATTGACAATCTAATTTCTTTAGAACTGCTTTGTGTTCAATTTTGTTAGCACGGTTGACTACGTACGGGTGCGAAAGAATTTCAACAAACACATAGTTTTGTCCGGGTTCTCAAGATTTTTTTTTTTTACCATGAACAAAAACTAAATCCGCACAATCAAACCGGTCAAGTGTTGCTTGTGTTGAGCCAACGCCGCTGAAATGACGCCGTGCGGCCGATGGGTGCGAAAGAAATTCGACGTACATACATATACAGTACATACGGGGGAGCAAAGGATAAAATCTTTCAAGTGTGGCCATGGAAGGCGAAGCAGGCGCCAGCCCAAGTGGGGCACCGCTGGCATGCGCTGTCAGGAACGCGCTGGCAGATTTAACGCGTTTCGGCGAGAGGCTACATTTTTTGCCAGCGGTCGAGGTGTCGGGCGCCTCGGCGCGCGCCAGTGGGCGTCAGCAGTCGAGGAGTATAATCGTAAAGTGTGTATCGTGGTGGTGGTTTTTTTTGTAGACGTCGGTAAAGTGTGTCAGGGGTGGAAGGGACGGCATGGTGGTGCGCGCACTGCACTATGAACCCAGCGGCCGAGTTTGATTCCTGGCCACGGCTAACATCAGTGGTGAATGATGTCTGATATCTGAACCGGTCATCAACCTGCACCGACCAGCTTTAGTGAAGGATGCCAGGCAACCACTACGATCCATACGACCAGTGCCGGGTAAGGGGGGGGGGGAGGCTCCAACTAGCAGTGGATTGACCATGTCTGATGATGTCAACAAATCTGGACTATAGCTGGAATAGAATAAATGATTGCTTCCACGTTTTTTTCACTAAGGAGGAATGCACACAAAGTACAATGGTGTTTAGACGCACTCAGACAAACTGGCTTTCATCTCTGCTGGGATGGCGATCAGGCATTATGATTCGCGTATGCATTAAACCAATTCCATAAATAATCCATATTTTTCTAAAACCACTTTCGAAGTGGCACCATATGTGGCACCACGTGTGGAACTATTCGGCTGATGCTGAAATGTTTGAGGTTGTCAAACTTGTGGATCTGCCCATGTAAGCTCGTCAGCGCAAGATAACGGAGATTCAAACGAACAGACAAAAGTACATCTCTCTTCATTAACAAAAAAAAACCCAAGTATTTATTTATCTCTCATCCATCAGCCTGTTTGGGCCTTCCGGAGTCATGTTTCATGACAAACATTTGTTTACGAATAAAAAACGTGGACTGGTTTCGACCCCATCTGGGTCTCATCAGCAATGTCCATCAAATTAATGCTGTTACATTGCCAGATGTTATTGGCAGGAGCAAAACCATCGAGACTAGGGGGCCTTGCCGAGCACGAAAATTTAGAGCGTAGTTCTATTCAGCTTATACGCATGTAACAATAGTAATAAAAAAAAATGTTCATGCTTTGAAATTCCATTGCCTGAGGAAGGCAGAACGACGCCGTGTCGGGTCAGGCTAGAGTCTGGATGGCGAGTATTCTTATTGCTAAGTGTGGAGCTGGTGTTTTATTGGCTAGCATGTTACACCCCAAAAAACAGTTCACCCTTCTGTCGCCGATTCTCACTCGGTAACTCATTCACTCACCTACTCACCCACCCATCTATTCGCTTATTAAAATATCCAACTCAACAAAGCACTCATCCACTCAAGCACTCACCCACTCACTCAACCACCCACTCATTTCAACTACTCACTTCACCCACTTGTACACTTACCCACCCACTCACGTATTCTCCCACCCACCTACCCACTTTACTCACAGATTCACTCACCCACCAACCATCCAAGTATTTACTTACCCATCCATTCAGTCACCCACCCAGCAAATCACTCAACCACAAACTCACCATTTCGCACCCGCTCACCCAACTCACTCACCTCATAGGACCACACGCACTGCGTGTCGGCGAACCTCCGCACGCACCGCCCCACCTCCACGTCCTCGTGCCCCGTGTGCATCTCGCGCAGGCACGGCCCCACGTTGGGCGCCAGCCTCCTAAGCGCCTCCCGGCTGAACACCATTCCCGGGCCACCCATGCAGAAGTTCTCGCCGGGCTCCAGCGCCAGCTTGCCCAGCTCCTCGGTGGTGCCCAGCCCCGTCTGGCCCAGGTAGTGCGGCTCGCTGCTGTTGAGGCGGCGCAGGAACTGCTCGAGGCGATCCCCGCGAATGTAGGCGTCGTCGTCGGCGCGCACGAACCACTCGAATTGGTCCAGGTAGTGGTCGTGCATGTACTGCGTGCGCGCGAGAGACACACAAAGACAAAGATCCTCGCCCGCCCCCCCGTAACCTTAACAGACTTAGGGGGAAAGTGCTGTCAGCGAATAGCACCTATGAAGGCCGGCACGGCACACGAGGGGGGTGGGTCGCCAGCACTACACCCGCCCGGCCTGCCTTCATCTCCCCGGCGCTGAATGTTTGCACACCCACACCAGGTACCCATTCAAGCTGAGTCGACCTAGGGGAGGTCTAGCACCGGTGCATATTCGCCGCCAATGTTATTGATTGGGTCGCGAGCGGGAAAGCTAAGTTAAAGAGTTTAACAGATATTAACTCCCTTGCATGGTATGCAGGAGGTCGTGGGTTCAATCCTGACCCTGACGTCTGCTGTATATGTGGATTTTGCATATCTCTCTCTTTCATTGTGGCCGTGTGGATTTTTCTCCGGGTCCTCTGGTTTTTACTTCCACATTTAGAAATTATCACCATTCCTTAAGACACCTGGGTAGGCTAGACCATCTACGACTCACGATATGTTTGACTTACGATGGGGTCGTCATAACGCATCTCCATCGTAAGTAGAGGACTACCTGTATTTGGCTGCTGCTATACATTTACACGTGATGACAAGCCCACTTGGTTGAGCAGCTATCATTTCTGATGGCCAGGTCGCTTCTGAAAAACAACTACATTGCTCAGTGGGACCCTCACCTACCTGGTAATATATTTTGTTCTATTTGTTGTTGTATGATCATACCTGTCAACCCATACGGTTTACCCCGGATTCTTGTACGGGGGAAATTGCGTTTTCAGGCCCATACGGCGCACAGCCGTTTCAATACGGGCTACATGTTTGTGTCTATTTGTTTGTGTTTCTCCCTTGTAATGATGACTTTGTATGATGAACGTTTAGATTTGTAAAGAGCACGGGGTAAGGGTCTGATCTTGATTTAAAGCTTTCGTGACTGCAGGAATCCATACTCTTTGGTTCTTTCGGTAAAGTCGCGTAGGTAGAACACAAAATAAATCCCCACGTTTCGATCGCAACACAAGCGGTCGTCTTCAGGCGGAAACAATACAATCCAGCAGTGGAAACTGCTGAACCAACGAGAGAGAGTGAGAGCAGCTACAACAAGGCTATATATGTGACAATGGGCAAGCAAGCGGGGTCTGAGCTGGAAAGGAATTAAGGTCTGCATTGCTCTGTAAACACATTCCTGCGGAGGGAGCTGGTAGGAACGTTGGTTGCTCGGTCAATGGCCTGCAGGGTCAACGGCGGCGTGGTGTATTCCGCAAATATGCCCGACTGTGAGGGCGGGCACAAGCCGGCGTGAGTAGGTTAAACGTTGAGTTTTATAAGGGCACCACGGGGTGACCAGCCCCTCCCCACCCAGCCCCTCCCTGCACGACGGACGGACACAATAATCCCCTGTGGGCTGGTGTAACCAGGAGGTTCCTACCAGTATAAGGTAGGGGCACCAGAGGTCGCAACCGGGTACCCGATACCCGTACCCCACCCGATACCCGGCTACCCGTACCCGGCCGGGTACGGGTACCCGTTTGCGACCCTGGTGCGGCCGGGTACGGGTAGGCCGTGAGTCACTGGTGAGTCACCGTTTGTCACTCATTTCCCAACGTCTTGTCTCTTCTCACAATTCAAGTTCCTAGAATCAACCCACCCGCGCCTGCAACATGGCTTCATCCCAGAGGTCGCAATCGGGTACCCGATACCCGTACCCTACTCGATACCTGGCCGGGTACGGGTAGCCAGGTATCGGGTAGGGTACGGGTACCCGTTTGTGACCCTGGTGCGGCCGGGTACTGGTACGGGTAAGGAATCAAAACCCGTTTGCGACCTCTGAGAGGCACTGATAAGAGAGAGGGGGGGGGGGGGGTCAACAGTCGTGGTGTTATTCTGGTCTAACCACCGCGTCTGCGACCACCACCACCACCACCACCCTCCTGCATATGTACCTTCAGCATCATGAACGACTTCTTCTGCGGCGGGTAGACGTCGTCCACGCCGGGCAGCGCCACCAGCGGCAGCGGCAGCTCGGTGCTGGATCCATCGCTGGTGAAGAAGTCAACGCGGCCGGGCACAGTGGGGGCCCAAGTTCGATAGGCGGCCCAGGCGCGAGTGGACAGGTACTTGTGCGCCGTGATGACCCCGACGTAGACGAAGCTGCGGGTCCGCACTCCTCCCCACTCCGTCTCCTCCCGGGAGGCCGAGGACGACGCGAATGGGAAAGAGAATGCAAACGAGAATGACGACGCACCGCTTCTCCCGGCGCCCATCAGTAGAGCTCCCCCTCGCCCGAAGCCGCCCTGCCACCAGCAGTGAACCCCGGTGGGAACGACGCCACTGCCGCCACTGCCGGCTCGCTGCGCTGCCCAGGGCGAGAAGAGCCAAGTGGCTGCCGAGAATCCGAGCGCGAACCCGGCCAGGCTGCTCAGGAAAGCCCGTAGGCCCCGCGGACATGGGGCCTTCATCGCTGATGTGTTTCTTCTCCCGCGCCTGCTCGTTGTATCGTTGTTTGTGTTGTTGTTGTTGTTGTGTGGATGTCACGGGCTGTTACAGGCTCACGCATCACGTATCGGGCGTGAGGATGCGTTGTTTCCGTGAGCCGCTGGTGGTAGTTGCTGCCTCGGCCGCTGCTGCTGCTACTGCCGCTACTCCATAGCGGGCGTTTGCAGGAGCTCGATTCGATTCCAGCGAAGTCGATTCCCCTTTTGTTGGTGATTACGGGAAATCGATTCTAAACGTACGTGGATGATATTGATGCATCTTCTTGGTTCTTTCGGTGAAGTCACGTGGAAGGGAAATAATAAAAAAAAATTAACCCGTAAAAACTAAGTTTTTCACTATAAATCCTTTATATGCCCACATTGGTCTTTGAAACGGGCGGCTAGAGTCTTCTCGTCCTCTGGCTTGAGATGGCTGCCACCTATGGGTCAGATGATTGTCTGCCACCATTAAGCAATTGGTAAATAAATATAAAATAATTCCCCTAAACCAGGGGTCGGCAACCAAAATAACAAGAAGAGCCATTTCTTTCCAATTCGGTACAAAATTCAGTATTTCAAGAGCCGCAATGCATCTATGTACATACGTACATATCGTCAAGAAGCAGCCCGTAAAGAGCCGCATGCGGCTCCGGAGCCGTAGGTTGCCGACCCCTGCCCTAAACAGTGTAAAATTTGGAGAGAAAAAAATTCACGAAAATAAAATGTCACGCACAACGAGTCTGTGTGCAAAATGTCAGCTCGATTGGATCACGGGAAGTGGGTTAAAAAAACGACCGAAAGATTTGCACGGTCGTAAGCAAGCAAGCACGCAAGCGAACTTAATATAAAGGATTTAATAAGAATACATTTACATAATAAAATATTTTTTATTTAATAAAATAATTTTTATTTTATTATTTCCCTTCTACGTGACTTTACCGAAAGAACCAAGAAGATGAATCCCTGCAGTCACGAAAGCTTTAAATCGATATTGATGCAGTTTATATTTTAGTTTTTTACGTGGTGGTTTGGCTGCAGCAGCTCCTTACTATTGAAATTTCCCTCCCTTTATTACTGCTAATTATACTTCCTCCTTTTATTACTGCTAATCCTACATAATACACGAGCATAATATGACTTTGAGACCCCCCCCACCACCACCTAAACATTCCACAAGTAGTGACTAATCCCATATATGCATTTACCATAAATATGCTAAATTCCTTTGTTGATATTTAAATTCCTTTGTCAAGGCGCTCTCCTCCTCCTACCCAGCTTAAATATACGCTGCCAAGCTTGGTGGTGTTCATTGGGACGCTGTCTTTCCAACAGCCCTGTTCTTCACCTGAGGACGGCTGCTTGCGTTGTGGCCGAAACGTCGTGAGAATTGTATTTAATGTTTTATTTTTATTATTTTATTATTTCCCTTCTACGTGACTTTACCGAAAGAACCAAGAAGAGGTACGTAGAGTAATGGCGAGAATCGATTAATTCCGATTTACGTCGGACTCTGCAGTTGCGTAATCGGCCGGTCGCTTCGATCTCCAGACGCGGCAGCTGAAACAATGACACAAGTTTCCTAGACCCCACCACACCGCAACGGCCTCTATCTCTCCTCCCTCCCTCCCTCCCTCCCTCCCTCCCTCCCTCCCTCCCTCCCTCCCTCCCTCCCTCCCTCCCTCCCTCCCTCCCTCCCTCCCTCCCTCCCTCCCTCCCTCCCTCCCTCCCTCCCTCCCTCCCCTCCCTCCTGTTGTATGTGTCGGATTATGAAATTTTGATGAAAATAATAAAAATTAATAATTTTCCGAAAAATGCGCAAATCGCATTAATTATGATAATGTGTGTATTAATACGCATAAATTATGATAATGCGTGTGATTATATGCATAAATTATGATAATCGTAGTAATTTATGCGGAGGCTTGCGATTATGTTAATGTGTGCAGTTATGATAATTTGCTTAGTTTCGTTTATCCAGAGTTATCAATCAGGATAACACGATTATCATAGATTCATTTACCGATTATCCTAGTGTGTGTTATAATATTTTAGGTCTCCATTTTCATATCTCATCGCAGGATACAGCTCTTATGAATAAGATGGTTTTGCATGGACTTGGAAAGAACACTCAATATGCTTCTGTGATAACAATTTTATTCTAACAAGCACGTGACATTCTATCATGCAGGTTAAACATGCGTCAATAATTCATGGGCAAGATTATGCAATTAACTAAATTGAATGACTAAAAATACTTCTTCATTGGCGAAATTATGCAGTTAACGAAAATGACTAAAACATTTCTTATTCATGCAACTCGACGGCAGCAACTGCTTTGCACGATCAGTTGATATTGAACGCACCACCTCGAAATGGCAACCCTTTTGAAACGCAAAGATCACTTTTTGAAAGTCTTATTCGTGTGCGTGCTGTGTGTGCGTTGTCCCCTCGTAATATTAATTGTGTCGTTAGCTTGTGTGGTGTGGGAGGATACGAACAGCTCCTGCTGCTCCCTCGCTCGGCGTGTCGCTCGGCTTTTGCTCTCTCTCTCTCTCTCCACTGCTGGATTGAGCGGCGTTGGCACGATGTTCCTTAAAGAAACTTGCTTGCTTGGCGCTTGATGGTTCCGGGGCTTGGTGCTGCTCGTGCGCTCTCTCTTTCTACTGCTAGATGACGAGTTGGCACGATGCTGTCCTTGAAGATGCTCGGTCGCTCGTGTCGCTCGGTGTCGCTCGGTGGCGCAAGGTGTCGCTCGTTGTCGCTCGTTCAGCGATCTCCGCCTTTCCTGCGGGTTGTTCGCTGGTCGTCACTCTGACGAGGAGCGATGCTTCGTTCGTGGCAGGGTGGACGTTGGCGTCTTTGTTGGCTTCACTCGCAGCTCTGCGACTCAGAGTAGCGATTCTTCTCAGGTGGTGCAGACCTCGGCTTTTAGCTACGCGTCGCTACTCCGCAAACCTCGTCATTCTGAATGACAGGAGCTTCTTCGTTGGCGGCGACAAGGAGAGATGGAGCCACAGCCCTGGAGATCTGTGATGGGGGCCAGAGCCCCTGTCGATCTGTGGTGGAGCCGAAGATGGGCTCGTAGCCCGGATGATATGTGTGTTGGAGCCGAAGCCCGGACGATATGTGATGGGGGCCAGAGCCCCTGTCGATCTCTGTGATGGGGGCCAGAGCCCCTGACGATCTGTGATGGAGGCCAGAGCCCCTGTCGATCTGAGTTGTATGGATTTTCCTTCGGTTTATATCGGAAAATTCCACTCGGCTTCCCGAGTTGTTCAAAAGCTGTGTCATAAAACCTTCCTGTGGGGGTGGACCATCTGCGTCCGTGTGTGTGTCCGTCCGTGTGTTTCGCGTGCGTGTTTGTCCGTGTTGTGGGGAGACAAAGGCGGTTGTTTCCACGGTGGGAGCACCCGGCGCATGCGCTTATTTATTCGAAGACGTGTTAATTTCCTTTGAGCCATTGCCCCCTTTATGGGTGTCATTTCCTAGCTTGGTGCCTGTGTGTGGAGATCCTCTCGGAAAGACAAAGGCGGCCGTGTTGCTCGCTTCCCATGGGTGTTGTGTTTGGTTAATTTTGAGAGCCTTCTCCGCCCTTGATTCCTCTTCTACTTTAATTCCGTACTTATTATTTGACTTCTTGTGATTATTTAATCTGATATCCCGGCTTATCTTTGTTCAGAATATAATTATCTCTTACTCCATGGTGCCTGGTTCTGTGGTTTTTTTTTTAACAAAACGATGTCCTGCTGACCCCCCCCCCCCCGCCTGCAATTCCCCCCCTCCCTTGTTCCTCTTGTGTGAATTTAGGGGAGTTTTTATTACCTTATTGCCCCCCCTTTCATGTCCTCTCTCCTTTGAAATGAGGTATGCGCGCATCTGTGGAAGTGTGGGGGCCTCTGTGGAAGTGTGGGGGCGTGTTCGTTCCCACGTGGCCGCGTCTATTAAAAAAAACGATATTATCTATGTTGGCAGAATAATTCTTAAAAAAAATTAATATTAAAAAAAAATAAAAAGGGGGCATATACACAACAGTCCGCCCTTTTGAAAATTATCAGGGGTCGATTTGGCCACTGGCGAATTTTCAAACAAAGTAATGCCCCCTTTTTATGTCATGCATCCCATCAGCCGCCCTTACTCTCGGCGGTTATTTCTTACGACGCGCGTGCACGTATTACAATCTTAACCTGGTTACATCTGAAATAAGCAAAGAAAATAACAACATGTTAACATTGATATTGCGTTACATCGGTTCTCATACATCATAACTCCGGCGAATATTCATTTTTGTTTTTGTTAAATCCTGGTTACATTTGAATTAAGCAAAGAAAATAACACACGTTAACATCGATATTGCGTTACATCGGTTCTCATACATCATAACTCTGACGAACATTCATTTTTGTTTTTGTTAAATCCTGGGAAACGCTAGGTAGCGGTTTCGAACGCATTTATGCGTTACCTTCCTCATGTTGCCTGGTTTACCACTTATCACTTTGATAATTTGATCACGGTTTTCGGGTTCGTTTTTGTAGTTTCCTCTCTCACTCTCTCGCGTCGTGGGAGTGTGTGGTGAAAAATTGTGCTGCACGTAACCAGAATTCGCGCACACGACCCACTTTGACACTTGGTTCGTGGCATTCGCTCTCTCTGCGATTACATGCACATTTGCCGAGTCAGTGTGTCGATTTAATTCTGTCCTTCGTAATGTTGCCCTCTTTGTTTTTACGAGTGTGTTGGATTTCAACACCATTCCCGATACGTCATGGACATTCGTCTCCATTTTAGCACTCCGATCCACATAATTTTTGGTTTCCCTTGGATATTTTCCATTCAAAGGCTCACGCCTGCGCTCCTCAGGGCGTGTCTCTGTGTTCTCTCTTTGTCTCTGCTGTCTGCTATCCACCGTCCGATCACTCTTCCATTCAGCCCTGTCACTTGCAGCCTGCTCAGGGTTTAACACCTCGGCGGGTGGGGCGCGTGTTGGCCGCTCGCTCGCACTCACTGTGGATGGTTCATCACGTATTTGGACCGCATTCTGTGTTATTCCTCTATTCCCTCCTGGTATAGCCGGTGGAGGAATTGGTCGGAATTGGATCGATTGTGTTTGACCTCCCATCCTGCGATTCTCCTGAATGTTCGCATCCATACCTCCGCGGTCTGTGTAACACCTTCCCGCTAGGTGGTTATCTTCCCATCTGTGTGCGTAATTTGAACCTTGCGTGTGTCGTGGGATGGGGTGTTGATATGGTTCTGCTCTGAACCTCTCCCTCCTGCGATTCTCGTACATTTTTAGCCCAGTATTTCTCCCATTTGGGTGCCAAATTTTTCCTGGATTGTTACCTCGCCATCTTTGTGGGTAATTTTGATCTTGTGTGTGTCGTGGCATGGGGTGTTGGTATGGTTCTATTCTGAACCTCCCCCTCCTGCGATTCTCCTGAATGTTCGGCTTTGTGCCGCTCTCATTCTCGTGCCAACCTCTCTCTGGGTTATTTTGCCATGTGTGCGTGCGTTTCTGCTCCGTCTTGCATTGTGGGACTGCTCGGTGATTTTTATTCCTCTCTGAGAGGCTGGGTTCCTCATCCCTCTCCCTGTGTTCTGGATCCGAATTATGATTCTTAGCTCTGTATAACCATGCCATGTACGCCTTGCTCTCTATGCGGCGTAAGGATGCGGTTTCTGGATTCAAAACCATTCTCACCCTTTCTGTAATCTCTGGGCTCAAGGATTCAAAAAACATAATTTTGAACATTTTATCTCCTTCGTGGTATTGATTCACATCGCCTGCGTAATACGCTCTTTTAAATTGGACGAGGTAGTCACGTGGATCTTGGTCCATGCCCTGGGTCATCGATTTTACAGCATAAAACCCCTCAGTGAGTGTCGAATATTCTCCAAACTTCCGAATCACTGCCAGGCTCAGTTGTTTAAAATCATTTCTAACCTTGTGTGGCAGTGACTTTACCCATGGAATGGATTCTTTATGTAAGGTCCGTTTCAACAAACTCGCTTTTTCATCCCGTCTCCTCAGCCCTCTAATCATTGCCTCCTCTTCTACGGTCGCGATATGTGTGTGGATATCCATAGTCTTATTGTGGGGGTCAAAATCGGGAATTCTGACTAGAGCCTTGTCCATCAATTTAAGGGTTTTACTGGTGAATAGGTATTCCGAAAGTTGATTGCCGACAGCGTCATCATCAAACAAGTTATCATCAGGCAATCTGTCACTTTGGTCTGTGCTGTGTCGCTTGTGTTTAAGTGGTGTGCATTTTCTGTGTGCGCGCCCAGTGCCGTGTCGCTCGTGTTGCCATTTCCCTTCAGTTTTTGCCTCTGCCCTTAGTGTACCATGTCCTGGCGATTTTACTTTAACATTTTTCCTCCCTCTATCTGTGAAGTTGTCAGTCTCACATGTTTTTGTTTGCATATGTATCTCTCCATCCCTTCTCTCGAATTGTGAGGGTTTCCCTTTGTCAATGATTTTTTGTTCGATATCCATAATTTTTGTGCGATCAATCCCTGGACTCTGTCCACGTACCCAAGAGTGTGATTTAATGTCACTTCCATATTTATTCTGTGGATCCACGTCTGTGAGTTTCGCTGGTGTCGCGAGCACTGATTTCTCTCCCGTTTCCTTTCCAAATTTTCCCTCATTCCACAATCCCTGTCTGTATGCCTGTGTGAGAAGGAATGAGTCCTGTCCTGCCTTCTCTGCAGTTTTTGCATCGTGTTCGCCTTCGTTACATTTTATCCAGTCAATTAGTTTCCCCCGAGGTGTGTTCGTGTTATCGATACAGCTCCCTTCCCATATGTCTCTCTGACTGTACTGCTTTGTAACAGATTGGTCGGTACGTTTAAATACGAGCTCCCCGTATCCCGTAACCCATTCAAAAATTATTCTTAATCCCAGCATCTCAAGGTGTGGCGGGAGTTACTTTGACATTCCCTTTCAGAGTGCATATAAAACAATTATCTCACAGAGTGTAGTCAATTCGACTCGAGCTATCTGTTATTTTCCGATTCAGAGTGCGTACCTCTAACACCATTTATCACAGGATGCAATTGGTTTGATACGATATTATCTTAATTCCACTGTCTCTGTTTTAACCTGCTATTCTGGGTTTTAACCTTAGAGGGCGTTTTTTGTTTTCCGCCCGTTCACAATTACCATGCAATGTTCGATCCTGATATTCTGGTTAACACGAAGTGATTCATTCCATCATCCATGCAAAACACTGTCTGTGAGAGATCCCGGACGACGCCACCCATTATGTTGTATGTGTCGGATTATGAAATTTTGATGAAAATAATAAAAATTAATAATTTTCCGAAAAATGCGCAAATCGCATTAATTATGATAATGTGTGTATTAATACGCATAAATTATGATAATGCGTGTGATTATATGCATAAATTATGATAATCGTAGTAATTTATGCGGAGGCTTGCGATTATGTTAATGTGTGCAGTTATGATAATTTGCTTAGTTTCGTTTATCCAGAGTTATCAATCAGGATAACACGATTATCATAGATTCATTTACCGATTATCCTAGTGTGTGTTATAATATTTTAGGTCTCCATTTTCATATCTCATCGCAGGATACAGCTCTTATGAATAAGATGGTTTTGCATGGACTTGGAAAGAACACTCAATATGCTTCTGTGATAACAATTTTATTCTAACAAGCACGTGACATTCTATCATGCAGGTTAAACATGCGTCAATAATTCATGGGCAAGATTATGCAATTAACTAAATAGAATGACTAAAAATACTTCTTCATTGGCGAAATTATGCAGTTAACGAAAATGACTAAAACATTTCTTATTCATGCAACTCGACGGCAGCAACTGCTTTGCACGATCAGTTGATATTGAACGCACCACCTCGAAATGGCAACCCTTTTGAAACGCAAAGATCACTTTTTGAAAGTCTTATTCGTGTGCGTGCTGTGTGTGCGTTGTCCCCTCGTAATATTAATTGTGTCGTTAGCTTGTGTGGTGTGGGAGGATACGAACAGCTCCTGCTGCTCCCTCGCTCGGCGTGTCGCTCGGCTTTTGCTCTCTCTCTCTCTCTCCACTGCTGGATTGAGCGGCGTTGGCACGATGTTCCTTAAAGAAACTTGCTTGCTTGGCGCTTGATGGTTCCGGGGCTTGGTGCTGCTCGTGCGCTCTCTCTTTCTACTGCTAGATGACGAGTTGGCACGATGCTGTCCTTGAAGATGCTCGGTCGCTCGTGTCGCTCGGTGTCGCTCGGTGGCGCAAGGTGTCGCTCGTTGTCGCTCGTTCAGCGATCTCCGCCTTTCCTGCGGGTTGTTCGCTGGTCGTCACTCTGACGAGGAGCGATGCTTCGTTCGTGGCAGGGTGGACGTTGGCGTCTTTGTTGGCTTCACTCGCAGCTCTGCGACTCAGAGTAGCGATTCTTCTCAGGTGGTGCAGACCTCGGCTTTTAGCTACGCGTCGCTACTCCGCAAACCTCGTCATTCTGAATGACAGGAGCTTCTTCGTTGGCGGCGACAAGGAGAGATGGAGCCACAGCCCTGGAGATCTGTGATGGGGGCCAGAGCCCCTGTCGATCTGTGGTGGAGCCGAAGATGGGCTCGTAGCCCGGATGATATGTGTGTTGGAGCCGAAGCCCGGACGATATGTGATGGGGGCCAGAGCCCCTGTCGATCTCTGTGATGGGGGCCAGAGCCCCTGACGATCTGTGATGGAGGCCAGAGCCCCTGTCGATCTGAGTTGTATGGATTTTCCTTCGGTTTATATCGGAAAATTCCACTCGGCTTCCCGAGTTGTTCAAAAGCTGTGTCATAAAACCTTCCTGTGGGGGTGGACCATCTGCGTCCGTGTGTGTGTCCGTCCGTGTGTTTCGCGTGCGTGTTTGTCCGTGTTGTGGGGAGACAAAGGCGGTTGTTTCCACGGTGGGAGCACCCGGCGCATGCGCTTATTTATTCGAAGACGTGTTAATTTCCTTTGAGCCATTGCCCCCTTTATGGGTGTCATTTCCTAGCTTGGTGCCTGTGTGTGGAGATCCTCTCGGAAAGACAAAGGCGGCCGTGTTGCTCGCTTCCCATGGGTGTTGTGTTTGGTTAATTTTGAGAGCCTTCTCCGCCCTTGATTCCTCTTCTACTTTAATTCCGTACTTATTATTTGACTTCTTGTGATTATTTAATCTGATATCCCGGCTTATCTTTGTTCAGAATATAATTATCTCTTACTCCATGGTGCCTGGTTCTGTGGTTTTTTTTTTAACAAAACGATGTCCTGCTGACCCCCCCCCCCCCCCGCCTGCAATTCCCCCCCTCCCTTGTTCCTCTTGTGTGAATTTAGGGGAGTTTTTATTACCTTATTGCCCCCCCTTTCATGTCCTCTCTCCTTTGAAATGAGGTATGCGCGCATCTGTGGAAGTGTGGGGGCCTCTGTGGAAGTGTGGGGGCGTGTTCGTTCCCACGTGGCCGCGTCTATTAAAAAAAACGATATTATCTATGTTGGCAGAATAATTCTTAAAAAAAATTAATATTAAAAAAAAATAAAAAGGGGGCATATACACAACACTCCCCTCCCTCCTTTTTTTTCAAAGCGTTTATTTAACAATGTTTGGCATTCAATACAAAAAAGTCGTGTTCCGTGTAGAAAACTTGCACAAGTACACCATTACACTCCAACACTAAAACGTAATTAAATGAAATATTGCAAAGTTAAACCATACATTTTTCAGTGTGAACAATTGTAAAAAAATCCAAATGTAATTGTTGCGGTATTGACTGAATCACAAACGCCTGTGTGTTTTCATAATTTGCACACAAGGTGTACAATTAACACTTATTTATGTAAAGGTTACACATTTACGAGTGTACCAACTCTTTCCATTTCACTTGAAAATGGGGCATACTGCATCAAACTGGGGTATGTTTTCATCAGCAGCGTTTAGGAACTAGTTCTGGATACAGCAGTCTTAAATGGTTTTGTGAGACTTCTCCAGGCAACGGTGAATCTCATATTAATATATGTCACCTCAGACAAATGCAAATTAAAGTCTGGCGAACGCAAGCATCCTGCGTGTGTATAGCTCGCACAGTGCTGCTTCTTCCGCGATAGCCTTGTGCCACGAGAATGGACGCGAACACCACATGCACTGAATGTACAATACCAAGGGGTTAGTGCAGCGTTCCCTACTCCTGTGCCTTTGGTCATAAAAATAAAATCAACAAACTTATCGAAATTTGGCGCATATACACACAAATTACATAGGATCTGGTTGTTGTACATTAGGTCTACTCAGATTCTATTGGCCCCTGTGATATAAAATACTCCACTAATAAGACATTTATGGTTACAATGTTAGAAAATGATTGCATTGTTTACCTCCTCCGAGCGCGCAATCAGAGACAATGCCCATGCTGAATTTCTATGGATCAGTCGTCAAGCTGCACGAACACCCATCCATATAGGTGACAAAACCCCTACCTGTAACAATACATTAGGGACATTACATTCTTGGTTCTCAGCTACACTCAAAAGATACCAATTACAACAGGAGACAACCCGTAGCTCAAACTTGGGTTTAATAATTGGGTATGCCCTTGAGAATTGAATTATCATTCAAGAATGTTGGCATCTAGGATCCCATCTTATGACTGGTTGGTTTAGATGCCTTTACTTTGAGTAAGTCCAGGCAAAGGCGGTAACTCCAGCCTTCCCCTGGGTACTCAGACATGGCAGGGCTGAGACAGTACATGTGATAAACACGGTCGCAGTCATTGCAAAACAGCAGCTGGTCGTCATTCTCATATGCGCCGCAAATGTTGCAGCACTTGCATTCAATGCACTGCCAACGGTAAGTCTTGATGGCGGTGCTCATGTTTGAAGTGTACTCCAAACAGAACGGGTGTGCAGAAATTCCACAATCGGAGCAGGAAACCAATTCTTCCGGTTGTCCCGTCTCCTTGTTCTCCAAATCGCAGTAGTTGCTAGGGTTTGCCAGCCCATCAGGACCTTTTTTGGCTTTGAGGTCCTCCGAGCGGCGCGTGACAGGTGTAGCGGGCCACGAGTCCTTGTCCTCGCCCTCCTCATCCACTAAGCGGCTGTGCGTGTAATGACAGTCCGGCCCAGGGCGGTTCTTGTACCGCTTCCTGCAAAGGTCGCATGCAAACGGCTTGCCTTTATCCTCCTGTGCTGCTGCTTCATTCTTCTTCCTGGTCCCCGCTGCTGCCTTGCCGGGGTCCTGTGTGGGCTCCTCCGTGCTCTTGGCTGCTCGCGTTTCCTGGGAGCCCTCGGCCCCCTCGCTGGGCACGTCGTCGAGGTCTGAAGTGCGACCCTCTTCATTTGTGTCCTTCGCCACTTCGCAGATTGCGGTTTCCCTCACTTCCATCTCAGGCTCCTGATTTTCATCAGGCGTCCTGCGCTTGAGCTTGGTTCTTGCACGGGGCTTCTTCCCTCTGCGTGTCCCACTTCTAGGGGCATCTGGGATGGTGAAGACCTCGTCCTTGCCACCAGTGCTCTCCGCATCTCCCTCAGGCGTCGGTGCGATGTCCGACTCCAACTCTGGGAGATCTTTAAAGGGACTGACCTCATCCCCACTGGTCTCCGGAGATAATGAAGCCGAGTCCTCCGTAAATTTCCTCTTCAGAGGTCCGGCTGCCGATGACGGCTGGGTGGCTGGCTGAGCCTCGGTCTCCATGGCAGTAGCTGGGGTTGGAGCAGGGTCTACCACCACCTCGTGTGATCTCCGTGGTGAGGGACCCTCTCCTGAGTCACTTGTTGGGTGTGCCTCTTTATCACCCTTTTCCACCGTTGTCTCGCTGGTAGATTGGGCATTTGCTGTCATCGGGCAGTGTTTTTAACATGCCCCTCTGCTTTGCATAGGTTGCATTTTAGCACGTCCTTGCAGTAAAACAGCCTATGGGCCCTTCCTCCATTCATGACCACAAAGGAGCCCTCTTCAAGCTGCCCATTGGGCACCAGCATGTAGACCTGCCTTCTAAAAGACAAGACATGCCTCAAGGCAGGATTTTTGAGGCCCAGAGGCACACGCTGAAGGTTGGAAGTCAGCGTGCCCAACTTAGCCAGGTGATCTTGGATGTCTTTATCGGGAATGTAGGGGGGGACGTTGGATACGATCACGCGTACCGATGGTGATGACATTGGCTCAAGGTAAGGTGCCAATCGCCAACCGTCAGCCCCTTCTCCATGGCGGCATTTGCCACCTTTTCAGACTCCATGAAGAAAACCACTCTTCCGCTCACCTTGGAGGCGTACCTTATCGAGCCCCCTGGCACGATGGCGCGCAGCGCATCCACGTAAACTTCAATTGGAACATCGTGAGAAGCCGGGCAGCGGATCCCAGCCTCCCGTGGAGGCTCCGGGTGCTGCTGCAGGGCGCCTTGCAGACCCCAGAGACGGGCCTTGCGTAGGTGCGGTAGCTTTCGCGTACGTTGTTGTGGGTCGGGTGGACATCTTCACGTGTGTGAGATGTCACACACAACTACGAGAGCAAACCTCTCTACTTTCTAAAGTCAGGAAAAAATTTACCAAAAAAAACAAGAAACGTAAAAAAATTGTATATAAAGATGGTCAAATCTGTGTTATGACCACCTTCTGCTAATTATTGTTACTTCTGCCCACCCAAAGCTCCCCTGGAGAGAGTACAATTATTTTAAGTCCTTGGTTTTTCTTTTCTTACAAGAGGGAAAAAAAAAGTAGGAAAAAAGCACACCAATAAAAATAAAATAATGTAAACACGCTCACAGCACAAAACAAGAGGGGATTCTAAAGGGGATGTCTGCCCTGCACCCACACCGGCCGGTGTGGTACAGTGCGAACACGGGTGTGAAACACGTGAGAGCACACCAGACAAAGGAACGAAAAAAGACACGAAAACCACGAAAAGAATCACAAAACTCAAAGATTACTAAAGGAACTCAAGATCGAAAAGAAAGCAAAGAAAAGCGTGATTATGAAGTCAACTATCAACATAAAATTGGAGGATTGTGCGGAGAAAACAAACACACCTTTACAAAGCAGTGAGCGCAGCCGCGCACTGAACAGTGAAAACAACACCAAAGAACAAAAAAAGAAAGAGAAAGGAAGTCTAAATTAACAAACAAACTGATCACAAATGTGAATAAAGCAAGACACTTACTGTTGGTGAAAAGAAATCCCGAAAAAAGGGTGAGAAAAATAAAGTTTTTAGAGGTAAAGGCCGGAGCTCTGGGTGAACGCGTCTCCCTCCCCTCCCCTCCCCTTCCTCCCTCCCCCAGTCACACGCCAGGTTGTGTGTGGGGGATAAAGTGTGGGTATGACACTTGCCCCAAAAGTCTGTTAAGGCTATACGGGGGTTCTTTGTGTGTGCATGCGTGTCTGTTGAACTTCTTTCGCACCGTACGTAGCACAACCGTGCCCATCGGAGGTGCGGATAACGTCCATACGGCCGGAGTGGAAGAGTAGGCCAAATACCCTCCAGTAGATGCCCTTATGCTCGCAGTGAAGCGAGCAATTGCAGGGCTGCGCCTTTGCCTCGGACAGCGACACGGCCGCTTGTTGCAGAAGTCCGCGGTTAGCATCCAGCGGCCGCCCAGATAAATACTGCGAGAGTTATAACAATAACACTAATGATCTAGATTCGAAGCTTTCGTGACTGCAGGAATTACTTTTTGGTTCTTTCGCTAACGTCACGTAGGAAATAAAATCAAATAATAATAGAATACGACGTTTCGATTGTGACGCAAGCAACCATCATCAGATAAGAATGAATGATAAAACACAGACACATGGGCAGACACACATGCAGAAAGACACACACACAATGTGTCTTTGTGTGTGTCTCTCTGCATGTGTCTGATATTATTTGATTTGATTACCGAAATAACCAAAGAACAATACTCATAATACAGAATCAGAACATTTATTTATACTGGAGGAATACTAACCCTTAATATACTAATTTATTATTTTGTCGGGTAAGGCCCACTGAGCTATAGAGCTATTTCTCAGAAGCGACCTGGCCACAAATGATAGCTCAACGAAGTGTGGCTCCCATCGTGTGGACATTCATTAAGCAGCCAAATACTCTAAACGTGATAATTGGTTTTTTACCCTTCTATCTGGCAACAAAACTGACACCTTTTTTTTACAAGCAGTCATGTTTTCATAGACCACAATACCTGCAGCCATAATGCAAACAAAAAAACACAACTCTGATAATCTTCTTGGTTCTTTCGGTAAAGTCACGTAGAAGGGAAGTAATAAAATAATAAAGATAAAACATAATAAAATAATTCTCACGACGTTTCGGCCACAACGCAAGCAGCCGTCCTCAGGTGAAGAATGAAACACCACCACGCTATATATATATACGCTCCAAGCGTGGTGGTGTTTCATTCTTCACCTGAGGACGGCTGCTTGCGTTGTGGCCGAAACGTCGTGAGAATTATTTTATTATGTTTTATCTTTATTATTTTATTACTTCCCTTCTACGTGACTTTACCGAAAGAACCAAGAAGATGAATCCCTGCAGTCACGAAAGCTTTAAATCGAAGTTTAACTCTGATAATGTGTGCACTGTCCTTGAAGTTGATTGGTCCACACCCGAGACAGCTTTCAATAAAGCCTAGTCTCACATGGTGTTGGACCAGATGACGCCAAAAGGCGCACAACTCAAAGACAATGCACCATCAGAGTATGAGAGCTCGGGGTAAGCATTTACACCATTGGAACGTTGGTTCTAAATGTAGGGAGGGGGACAAATCCCGGTGGGCCGGGAGCAACATCCACGCTTCGCAGGGCACGTTAAAGATCCCGTGACGGGACAGCCTTTAAGGGAACGGATCCAGTGAACAGCTGGTAGGTTGAAAAGCAGCAAATAAAGATATGAAGTTCTGCAGTTGAAATTGCGGGAAACTCCGTAAAAATGTTGGTCTCAAACTTAGCTGGATGCAAGTAGGAAAGAGAGGGAACAGAGGGAAGTGACAGTAATTTGGACCGGATAATGGAAATTTTATCGTGAAATAAGTATAACCCGTAAAAACAAAGTTTTTCACTATAAATCCTTTATATGCGTGGCAGCGAACTTAATATAAAGGATTTAAAAATATATTCGCCTGTGGAGGACGCGGGGATCGATCCCGCGACCTTTGGCATGGGAAGCGAGGGCGCTACCAACTGCGCTACTCCGCCACGGCCTGTGGAGGGGTTACGCTCTGGGCTCTTATACTGTGACGTTCAGCCTAAGCGATGAATGAGTTCTATTTGAATATATGTAAAATATTTTTTTTTTTGCCTAAAAAGTGTACAATTTTGGGAATTTTTTTCACGAACATTAATTGTCTGGCACAACGAGTCTGTGTGGAAAATGTCAGCTCGATTGGATCACGGGAAGTGGGTTAAAAAACGACCGAAAGATTTGCACGGTCGTAAGCAAGCAAGCACGCAAGCAAGCAAGCATGCGAACTTAATATAAAGGATTTAAAAACTGTTGAATTCTGGTACAGAAATCAGCGGAGGAGTGGGGGGTTACATTTGGTTCCTTATTCAAAAGTTGACTGATACAGGAAAACAAGGTCAGAGTATTGTTATCACTATTTGCAATGCGACCAGCAATGTAGGAGGATTTAGCCCATGCAATGTTGTTACGTGAAGTAAGAAGCTGTTCTTTAAATATTTTGTAACGAATAGTGAGGCCAGACTTCCTCCAAGTACGTTCTGGTTTACGGACAGTACATTTTTGCGCCATCAATTCTGCATTGTGCCATGGCGAAGGGTGATAGGAAGATGTCCAAAGGGTTTGGAGGGGAGCCAAATGATCCAGGATCTCTGACAGAACATAGTTTTATAATTGAGTAGCTTCTTCAGCGGGAAGCTGACAGTCGTCAGCGAGTGGAGAACTCGATAGGACGTTTGCTAAATGAAATTTGATGTTCAATAGAAGGACCAGGAGGGGGCAGGGATATATCAAAGAGGACCACGGAGTGGTCTGAGATTTCTGGATCCATCGCAGTCAGTTCAGATAGTGAAAGCCTAAGAGAACAAACCAAATCTAAAATATGTTCACCAGACTGGAAACAGAATAATGGACAATGTAGAACCCATCCAACAACATGAGCAAGCGAGAATTAGAAATGGTTAACGACCTTTGAATACAAACAACGAAAAGACACGTGGATATCAATCAGAATTATGCCTGGCCTTTGTAGACAATGAAACAAGGTTTCATTCAGTTCAAATTCATGGAGTCATCAAACCACTGACAAACAGAAGCTAAAATAAAGAAATATAAACATCTAAAAACTAAAGTTGACAAATAAGAAAAGCAAATTCAAACACTGCGGCTGCAAAAGTGAAGGTTCGTTGAAGGGAGGTCTTGTCAAGGCCTGTGGGCCTGGACCTCTGAGTAGACCGTACTGGGCCCGTTAGGCTCCGTGGATTCTCTGGGAGCTCCGGTGAAACGGTCAGTGGTCATCTCGGCGTACACCACCCCTTCGTCCTGGACCCTCGAGTCTGGAAATGCACACAGGTCAAGCGTGACAAATAAAGATTTATGATTTGTGAAGTCGCTTCACAGACGATGTCACACCCCCCCCCCCCGCCCCACATCTCTCACGTGAACACCTGGTAAAGTTACGCGCTTTGCTGCCAAGGTTCATCTCTTAGCACGCTGATCTCTTCAATGAACATAACCCGCCACGCAAACTCCGGTCATCCTTGCAACAGCTGCAGCTTTTGGCTAACCATCGAACAAAGACGGTCACTGCATCGCCCGTTTTTAGATGCGCTTCTGCGGCCGTCTGCAATGCTCTTCCTTCCAATATTAGGGAACCAATGGAACTATACAGTTTTAAATCTGGATTGAAAACGTATTTCTTTAGACCTGCTTTTTGTGTTTAGTGTGTTGCCCCTCTCCGCACCTCCGATTAGCACGGTTAGCTACGTACAGTGCAAAAGAAGTTCAACATACATACAACATCAGAGCCCACTAGGAGCCCCCCAGAGAATAGCGAGAAGGGCGAGGCGTAACGACCGTGGAACGCCAAGATGGAACCCATCTCTATGAAGTTCCGGGCCCTCTCGTGACGCACGGTACCTGTGACGGTGGCGTACGTGGTGCTGTTTGTCGAGACGGGGCGAGGAATGGACGAAGATGGCATCATTTCAAGATTGGCGTACACACACTGATCTCCATCCGATTTCCCGGCCACCTCCTTATCTGCACCCTCCAGGGAGGGAGAGGATTGAAGGGGATGGAGAGAGAGAGGTGAGTGGGATGTTTCGCAGTGTCGTTTGTGTTGTTTGGGACAAACGATGGAAATGTGTACATTTGGAACCGGAATCACGATCATGGAAGTACGGGTGTCTCACGCGTAATGCACGATATGCGCTCCTGAAAACAGCGCGTAAATGGAATCGTGCTCTGCGAAGCCTGTTTTTCCATAGATACTTATGATGGGATGGAGGGGGGGTGTGCGTTATTGAATAAAAATAAAGTATTTCATTTCATTTTAATGCTGGATTTACAAAAATGCGTACAAATGTAACGCGTAATATTATTAAAATTACAAAACAATACTTCATATGGAGTTTAATAAACTATATATTTAAGATTATAAATCTTACTTGCAAAGATTACTTAATAATGGGTAACTTCTGGGATTCGTCAACGATTTCGTAGTGCAAACAAAGGCCAGCAGTAGATCATGGAAGGCTATGCCCAGCCCGTGACACTGTGACGCTGCCATGGCGAGGTGACACCGTCAGAAATATATTTGTTATTTTACTTTTCAATTTTAATCGTGGAATTTCTTTTTTGCGGAGCACGTAACTGTCAAACGCAGAGTGGAAGCGTACGAAGTGTGTCCCTAAAACAAGTATAACCCGTAAAAACAAAGTTTTTCACTATAAATCCTTTATATGCGTGGCGGCTAGAGTCCTCTCGTCCTCTGGCTTGAGATGGCTGCCACCTATGGGTCAGATGATTGCATGCAGCATTAAGCAATTGGTAATTAAATCTAATATTTTTGTCCTAAAAAGTGTAATATTTTGGAAAAAACAATTTCACGAACATTAATTGTCACGCACAACGAGTCTGTGTGGAAAATGTCAGCTCGATTGGATCACGGGAAGTGGGTTAAAAACGACCTAAAGATTTGCACGGTCGTAAGCAAGCAAGTGAACTTAATATAAAGGATTTAAAAACTGAGAATTTGCGCTTTCGGGGGGTAGTGGTGGGTGGCGTTACGTGAGGGATGCCTGTGTAGAGTTCTGCATAAGAAAACTATTTCAATGGGATTGTTTTAGTGCTCATTAGAGCCAAACCATGCACGAATACTTGGGGTTGTGAACTGTAATTCCTAATTAGGTACCCTCGTGTTCGATCGTGTACGTCAAATGCGAATTTTCGACTACGTAAGTCATCGTGAGAGATACGTTCCAGAGAGGCTCGTGAATAGCAAATTTTGCGGATGATATTGGCCGATAAAAACCTATAGTTTTAGTGAATTGCCTTAAATACATAAATAAGCTATTGGATACATGGAAATGATCGTAACACAAAACAATGAAAATGTATTATAATAAACATGAAGTGAATAAAAAATAACATTAAAGTATTAAATTATAGTTTATAAATGCACTAAACTTATCTCATCACTTTCTCACGTCACATTCTCTCTCATTACTTTAACGCATCACTTTGTTTCTCTTTCTCGATGCAGGGGACGCGTAGAGTTTCAAATGCCATTCGCGGATAGCCAAAATCTCCGATAGCAGGTTCGTGAATTTGACAGAGCCAATCAAATGTTGTGGGGAAATTCGTTAATTTGATTCGGGTTGGCAGCAAACCAGGATGGTGAAAAACCAGGAAAAAAAATATGTTGATAATTCTGTACGTTTCTTTCAGATTACATCCAGCATCAATGAGGTGGTTCACAAACAGCAGCTTTGGCCTCGTGCGAATTAGCCTCCTGATCTGGGTCCATAAGTCGAAGGCGCCCCAAAGGACAGTCGTTCACGTGACCCAAATGAACAATGAGAGAGGGTTACTGGTTGGTTGGTCGCGATTGGCAGGTTATATTAATTTAGTAAGGTGAATTTCTTCTAGCAATTTGGTGGAAAAAAAATGGTCTCCTTAATGACATTGAGGTGTTCTGCTTTGGTAATGAAGTTAAGTGTCCATTGGTTAATAGAGTTCGTTCGTTGGTAAAAGTTAAAATTGGAGTGAATTGCTCATTGATTGGTTGCAATTGGCAGGTTAGATTACACGGAGCCACCCGGAAAGTTTTTTTATTGTGTCTATGTATGTTGAACTCTTCGCTCCGTACGTAGCCATATCACAGTTTAGTGTGATATGATACGAATTATGGTGGTATATGGTATACAGTACAGACGGTCTCCGGTTTACGACGATCCACAATTAACACCGTTTATATAACGCCAATGTGGATGGATTTACGACGCAGAAACTCTTATTTACGACGCACATTCCCATACGACTCATGTGAACGGAGCTGGTCTGGTTCCCAACGCGACTCGGCGTGGAGCTTTATTATTCTCGAGTGTTTGTGGATGTTTCTGTCTACAGGAAAATAGGGTCCGATTGAGGACGATCCTATTTGCGACGGGGTTTCAAGGAACGCATTGAAACGTCGTAAAAGCGGGGACCGCCTGTATGCGATAGCACCAGCCGCACATGGAGTGTGGAGGCGTGACGTCAGTACGCAGGAACCCGGTTCAACACTGTGACGTCACCACGCAGATATTGCCGGTGACATCACGACCATGCACACGCACTTGCGAGTGCGGCACCAAGGCAGACAGGAATCCACCCAGGTCATCAATCCAGAATAGTTTTGTTTTTTAATGTAGTACGAGTATGATGATAGCTTGTGGCAGGAAAGTGTTGTAAACGTAGCCTTGAATATCCGTTTGAGACGGGTGGGGTACAATCGCGAGATGGATTAATGGGAGACCTAAAACAGATGTGTAGAGACACAACTGATGGGATACCATGCAACGGAGCTTAGATATTGTCATATGTGTAACACATGTGTCGCATTGGTAATATCTGGATGATGGAAGCATGTTATAGTGAGGTAGTAATAATAACGATTGTTTTTATATAACCCCCTTTACATCAGAATGTCTCAGAGTGCATTAAATTGCATCTCATCTCAAACATGTGAAAGGGCACCCCCAGTGGTAGCTCTCTGTGTGGGCACAAGGTGACCCAGCACCTGGCCTGCTAACTTGGTCTGCCAGTAGGGGGCGATGATCGCTATGTACAATCTCAATTGAGTAACCTGTAATGCAGACCGAACACGTGCTATGCTTAACTTTCGATTTAAAGCTTTCGTGACTGCAGGGATTCATATTCTTGGTTCTTTCGGTAAAGTCACGTAGAAGGAAAATAATTAAAAAAAACGTAATAAAATAATTCTCACGACGTTTCGGCCACAACGCAAGCAGCCGTCCTCAGGTGACAGACCTGTTCTTCACCTGAGGACGGCTGCTTGCGTTGTGGCCGAAACATCGTGAGAATTATTTTATTATGTTTTATTTTTATTATTTTATTATTACCCTTCTACGTGCCTTTACCGAAAGAACCAAGAAGACGTACTATGGTTATTACACCGGCAACAATAACCAGGGCGGCCGTGGGGATCAAACTGCAAACCTCACCAACGAGCGACGAATGTGCTACCAGTAGGCCATGCCCCCCGCCCCCCACCCCCACCCCCCACGTCGTGCAATAAACGCCATGTGGCCATGGTGAGAGACAAAATAAGTATAACCCGTAAAAACAAAGTTTTCACTCTAAATCCTTTATATGCGTGGCGGCTAGAGTCCTCTCGTCGTCTGGCTTGAGATGGCTGCCACCTATAGGTCAGATGATTGTCTGCCTGTATTAAGCAATTGGTAATTAAATATTTAATTTGTTTTCCCTAAACAGTGTAAAATTTTGGAAAAAACTTTTCACGAACATTAATTGTCTCGCACAACGAGTCTGTGTGCAAAATGTCAGCTCGATTGGATCACAGGAAGTGGGTTAAAAAACGACCGAAAGATTTGCACGGTCGTAAGCAAGCAATCAAGCAAGCACCCAAGCAAGCAAGCGAACTTAATATAAAGGATTTAAAAATAGAGGCAACCAGAGAAATGCCTCTTCAGTGCCTTGTGCACATCCATTACACTGGTCAACCAAAAAAAATACATTTTTTTCTGGCCTGGACTTTTGCAGCTGTTTTAGACTAATTTCAGGGTGCTGATTCCAAATCTGATCTCAGATTTGCTCTATCACATCTCATTTTATGCTATCGGCATACCCCATTTTCATTGATTTTACCCGAAATTAACTCTGTCACTTATGATTGCAAGTTGTTGCGAGTCAGTGACTGCTTTAGTGTTAAAATATGGTGCTGTATTTTTAGGTTAGTGTGTTTATAATATCATTTTATGTAGATATCCACATTTATTTAATATTTTTCTTCTGCAGTTTTTATTGAAAATGCAATATTTGATATCTCAAAAACTTGATGTGATAGACAAAAACTGATGCCAGATTTGGAATCAGCACCCCAACATTATCTTAAAACCGTTGGAATACCTTGTGCCAGAAAAAGTGTGTTGACCAGTGTTATTAACCCACCTGCCGTCTCATTCCTCTTCTTCACGATGATCACGGCTATGAAGATTAGGAGCAATATGACTCCAGCCACCACTATCCCTCCCAGCACGAGTTCATTCACTCCAGTGACTGGCTGAGTATTAGGATTCGAACTCGGCTTCACTGTGTGCAGGGTCTGCGATGTTTTTTCCGTTGGATATCTGGTATCATAAGAGTGCACTGGTGTGAGAATAAAACATCGCAAAATTAGTCGAAGGATATTCAACTTTTATACATGCTACACTTGCCTGTAACATACATCTATACCATTTTTATTTATAGAGCATATACAATTTGGGAGCAAGAGGGGACATTATTATCCTTCCCCCGCTCTGCGATTGGCATGGTTGGCTACGTACGGTGCAAAATAAGTTCAACATATTAAGAGCAGAGGTTACAGGGTTGCAGAAGGTCATTCAGACCACAACCCAGTTATTGTTAAATGCTCAAAGGGGGTCCTAGCAATGTTGGAGGAGTTATGCAAAGCTGCATGGAATAGGGAATTGTTGCCAAAGTACTGGAAGAAGGGAATTACAGAGGAAAGGGGAAGGGAAGAAGTCCAGGTAAAGAATTAACCAGAATGCTCAGAATCAGAATCTTTATTTATCCTAGAGAAATCCGATCAGCTATGCAGCTCTTTTTTACAGATGTCCAGTAGAGGCGGGTCAGAATGTTACAACAAACAATACAAACAATTTCATCATTGGACCTCCTTTGTCAGTACCAAAATATAATATTAGGGGTTTTCCCCTTTTTTCTGGCAACAAACTGGAATATTTTAAAAATGATTCATGTCTGCATTAACCACAATACCTGCAGTAAATGCAAACAAAAAACACACGATGATAATGTATGCATTTTCCTTGAAACTGGTCTGGACCAATCAGTTGCGGCAGCAGAAAAGAATGAGCAATCTCGACTGAGCATTGGTTGAATGTCGGCTTTAAAAAATGGCGTCTTCAAAATGGCGGTTCTGAAAAAATGTCGGCTCTGTAAAAATGGCGTCTTCAAAATGGCGGCTCTAAAAAAATGGCGGCTCTGTAAAAATGGCGGCTTCCAAAATGGCGGCTCTGAAAAAATGGCAGCTTAAAAAAAGCATTCGAGAGAAGCAGAGCAATGTGAGACCGAAGAGGTAGGATAAGAACCTGGCATTGGCCATCTTCTAGAGATTGGAGATGAGTGGTGTGGCTACATAGGAGAGAGTTGCAATTGTTGAGTTGGGATGTGACGAATTGACGGATAAGGATGTCGACAAGAGCTAGTGATGTTGTGCAGATTGAGGTATAAGGTCCTGCAAAAATGATCCTGTGGTAAGAACACAAAACCTCATGGTCAATGACAACTCGGAGGTTTTACACACTCTCTGCCAGTGTAATGTCAAAGTTTCGAAGATTAACGTTCAAACTAGAGTCTACACTTTAATATGCACTATGGTACTTTCTTAATGTAATCTTTATGAGTTTGTTCAATTCCAGTAGAAAAGAGAGTAGAAAAAAGACAGTACGGAGCTGGTATATATGAGACAGTTGAAATTAATAGGCAGTGCAAAGAGGACTGAACAGAACACGACCAACACTCATGCAGGATAGTCAGAGCAAAACGAGTGCACACAAATGAGACGTACGTGAATGAGACAGATAACTCAATCATACAAATGAGACTGTAGAACAGTGCAAACCAGACAGTGCAGAGCAAGACAGGGGGAGCGGATCTTAGGGGCCGTCCATAAATGACGTCAGACCCCCCCTCAAATATGACGTCACAAAGCTGTGCCCCCCCCCCCAAATATAAAACATGCTTCAAATCCTAATATACTAATAGGGTTTTTCCCCTTTTTTCTGGCAACAAAACTGACACCTTTTGCAAGGAATCATGCTTACATTAACCACAATACCTGCAGTCAAATGCAAACAATTATCAGAGTATTGTTTTCTGTTTGCATTTGACTGCAGGTATTGTGGTTAATGTAAGCATGATTCCTTGCAAAAGGTGTCAGTTTTGTTGCCAGAAAAAAGGGGAAAAACCCTATTAGTATATTTTGGTACTGGCAAAGGAGATCCCATGAAGATATGCTTCAAATCTTTAAACTATTGTCATTGTAGTGCGTAATTAATGTGGCACTGCACTCTGATGTTGTAGGAGAAAACATGTATTACAAAGTCTATTTAATTAAGTAGAACGTGTTGTCTATATTTATTTAAAGTTGTGCATTTTGATGTGACGTCACATTTATCACCCCTCCCCCCCCCCTTCGTCATACATCGGCACAAATGTCTGACCCCCCCTCCCCCTAGGTGCGTGACGTCATTTATGGGCGGTCCCTTAGAGGGCCGGCTGTGTAATGAACAGATAATGCAGACGTGGGATTTACTTGCTGACACAGCTAAATGCTTACGGAGAGGAGTTTAGCAGCTCAGTAAACAATTAAATGTTTGCTATTATTCGCACTCATCAGCAAGCCTAATCCAGCTGTAGGCTCCCATGCAAAGCCTAGAATATAAGGGTTGCCCAGATGTACACGTAAAAAGGACAATACCTTTTATGAAGACAGTGGTGACATCTGTAGTCGCTGTATGATTCGTCTCTGTCTCACACGATGTAACCTGCCGTGTGGGTGTCGGTGTATGTATAGGTGTGTGTAAATGTGCGCATGCATTGTGTGTATGTAAATGTGTGTTGATATAAAATAAACGTTTAAATAAAACACACACACACCAGAAGCTAACATTGAGAGCATTGCTATTACAACACAATTGTCATGTAGAGACTTCTCCTTGCCATAGGAATGTGGAATTTCCACAATTTCTCAGGACTGCCTATGCATATGAACACCCACCAACACTGCTTTGGTACAGAGGCAATGCAACCTTACAACGACAATCGCTTTCCAAAGATAGCAGCGCTAAACCATGTTTTGATTAACAGAGTGCATATCACAACTCAAGAGTAATATTTAACCGATTCTGGCAAAGGACATTGTTACACGATAATCAGTTGTTTCTGAAACTTTTCACGACACTAAAGCCAGTAAAAGCAGCCTAAGCTGACTAACATTACTCATCACACGAAAACACCGCTGATTGTGAGTTACCGAATGAAGGAGGACTCAGAATCAGAATTTGAATTTACATTGGAGGAATCCGATGAGCTATGAAGATTGTTTTCACAGATGTCCAAACTGTTTACCAGTCTACCATCTCATCCATCACATCCAAACTACGTTCAGCCAACATCGCACAGCACCACGCGTCTACCTCTGCTCCTGGCTTCGCACTGCTCAACTTTGGAATTCCGTTCTCCCATCATCGCCTCTCTTTCCAAGCTCTCACAATAACAATAACCTTGTTCAGTTCAAGAAACGTGCTACACTCATATCTGTAACGATGTTGGCAGTGCCAGATTAAGGTAGTGTTGGGCCTGTAGCATATGTTATGAAGGGGCCCTAAATAAAAAAAACACGGAAATATTAAGCCACAACTTTTTTACTTCGATAGTAAAGTAATTGTATTTTTTCATTTGTTATACAGCCAGATAATGACAAATCGCTAACCTTAAATACCCAGTCGTTCATAAAAGTTGAAGGCAGTATAGTACTATAGTAATAGAGCAAGTTACATAATCACTGAACCGGAATTGATACTTCAAAAGCATTTAGCGCAGGCCCTTTAAAGTGCGGGGCATTTGTAGCTACTTTTGCTACGGAGATAATCCGGCACTGGATGTTGATTGTTGCTGTCCACTCGACTTTTTTAGCCTTTGGGCCCTTGGCACGGCAACCGTGTGTAAATGACTAAACCTGGCACCCACATGTGACCTTGTAGGCAACTATGAAACAGATGAATTTACAAGTGCGATATTACGATTAATCAGCACATGCAAATGAGCTGGTGACGTTCACTGCGAACACAGAAAATGCCTTTGAAATGAATGCGATGCCCATGATGCAACAGCAATGATGGTGTTACCCACAGCTCGCCGATTTCGTTACCTCCTTGGGAAAAAGCGTCTTCTTTTGGCCGTTTATCCAGCACTCGCACACAAACATGGTCGTGCATCCACTGCTCCGCTCCTTGATCACAAGTTGTTTGAAACTCCAACCAGAGAAAGAATGTGACCCATCGTTGCCAACTATAATGCTCTTGATTCTCCCAAGAGGATGCAGCTTCACGAGGAACTCGTCAACCTAGGAGGAAAGCAATTCTATTCAATTCGAAATCAAGTCCAACAAAGAACTCAGCTGGTGCAAAATCTGACTGCGACTTCCGGCCTTGAGGAGGCCTTCAGGCGTGAGGAGGCCCTTAGCACGCGTTAAACGGTACTGATGTTCACCCTCATTGGGGCTCATGAGTGCAGGGAATCATAACGGTGAACGAGGAGGTAATACGTGTACTTGGCTTAATAACTTTTAACATGGAAAAACGATGGTTTAACGAATTTTTGCTTACCAAGTAATTTTCGCGGAACGTATCTCACTCGTTAAGCGATACCTGCCTGTACTTGGCTTCACAGCACAGGCATGCACATTGCTGTTCATAGTCTGCTATGTCCACTCTGGTCTACCTCCTTTCCTTCAACTTGATCAGTCTACCTTCAGGAGTTTCTCTCGATATGCGCTGTGTTTTGCATTATTCTGGCTGTCGCCTGATGAGGCTGGTTGTTGTACTTACCAGCGAAACGTCGTCCTCGATTGTATATTTTGTGGCTTTACTCTCCAACACACCGGTGTGCAGAGCTAGTAACGAATTGGCATGTTTTGTTGTTATGGCGGGTTTAACGTGTCAAACTGTGTTTTCGCGCTATGTCGCTTCTCAGATGCCTTCAGTTGTTTTGAGAGCGAGTCACAATAATTTATTTTTGCAAATGTTTTTATCTTGAGCCCATTTTGCAGCCTTTTATATTTTGTTAATTTATTCTGCCCTGTGGTTCCTTGCTATTGACGATGCCATGATGGAATTAGAGGTGGTCAATATTTTCTCTACTTATATTTATTTCTGCCTCCGATGTTGGTAGAAACATCTTCAAATTATGCTGAGTAAATCTGCATGAGGAAGCTAGGAATAGCAAAGGTTTCTTTACCATTGACCACATACATACAGGGAAGAGCAAGGATTGCCTCTGAATAGTTGAACGCGAGAATGAAGACGAACATGACAACGTGGCTGAAAAAGAGTTTTCAATCAGTGCGAACCGCCGGCCCCGACATGGATTAGAACGTGGACACTTGACAATAAAAGGAACAAAATCCAAAAGATGTACACCTGGGGGAGATGCATGCAGGAATTACACTGAGAGACGGAAATAGGAACACGTGCATGACAGAACAAGCAAAACAAGGCACCAAATTGGCAGACATTGAATTTGTCTCCGTGAGTCCGGTGGCCATGCAGAAGCTCTGCAGCCAGATGGTGGTGGGACGCTGCTTGGGCTGCCGACCTTGTAGGTCGCGTGTCCACTGTGCAGCAGCTGCGGGAGGAGTTGGCGTCAGCGGCTCTGGCCGTGATTGACAGGAAAAGTAAATGGGCTGGGAGAGGAGGCGTCGCTAGACGGACCGAGGGAGCCGTGGACGAGACTGGCAGCTCAAGGAGGGAACGACCTCTGCCACGGAGATGTTTCCTGTTATTGTTTATTTAAATATTTAACCTGGAAAATTCCTCCAGGGGGGCATCTCAATGCCAAAGGAGTACTCGCACGAATACGCACGTGTCATGTTAATTGCGTCATTTTCACTACAATTCTAGGAATGTGGTTTATATAGTTCAATATATATATAATGTTAATTATGTTGCAGTTACTCTGTATTTCTGTATTAGGATGCTGTTATTATCGTTATGAATGTGACTGCAACCCAGCACACTCGTTACGGGGACCTGCAAGGTGGTTGCACAAAACCAGCTAATGTTGAGCTCATGATTGCAGCTGTCTCTGCCTCATTCTCTGCCTCATTCTCCGGTTAAGACGTCACTTGGCTTGCATATGCAATTCCATTCATTGCGAGTAACTGCACTTAAATTTGTTTCGATCAAATCTCACACTCTGAAAAAAGTTAAATAATTTGAAATCACGAACCTGGCCATTTTCAAACGCATTCTGGTATCTTGTTGAATGGCTGAGTATGATATTTTCTGCGTCATCGTCCCCATAGATCCAAATGCGGACATTGGCGTCTGTCCCGGCTGCAGTCTCAGTTCCCGTGTAAACAGTCACATTGTAGTTCCAGTCTCCCGACTCTGCGACGAAATCACGCACACAGATTACAGACGGCGCGCACTTTCCCGCACACCCGATTAGCACGGTTGGCTAGGTACGGCGCGAACGAAGTTCAACATACACACGTACAGACTGAACGAGGCGTCACGGCGCCTGCACGGGTCCACCGAGCGCCACGCTCGCACGCGCTGCGATGGCTGCGACCTCCATCGGCTGTCAAACCAACCGCGTGCCGTGCACACAGTCCCCGACTTACGAACCGCTCGACTTACGAACGGGGGACCAGGTGCCGAATTGTGTTCGTAAGTCGATGGTTAGTTTAACGCGTACGCTTTCGCGACCATCTCTTATGGAAGTCGACGGTTGTCTGTTAAGACGACGATTACCGGCGTGGACTAGTGCTTGTTAGCGAGCACCCGTCACGTCCTGCACGGCACAACAGGAATGAGTGGCCAGCACCACACCCTGCCGACTTTGTCTACCCCGTTATCAGATTTCAAGGTCGAGTCGACCTAGAGGCGGCCCAGGACCGGATCAGACATTCGTCACCGACGCCAGATCCACCTCAGGTAAGGCAAGTTTCGCAGCGCAGTGCGTTAACCACTGCGCCATACACACGCGCGCGCGCACGCACGCAGATTCCACGCACGCAGATTCCACGGACGCAGATTCCACGCACGCATATTCCACTCCCACGGGGTGCTGACACACCTGCCTTTCTCACCTGCACCGCGAGTCAGAGCCACGAGGCTCAGCACCGTAACGAGATGGTAGAGCATGGCTCCCAACAGCAAACAGAGCCCCTCACAGACTATCCCCTTGCAGCTCACTGCCCCTTTCCCAGTCGCTTTTGATCATCTACCACTTCCTTCTACGCACACTCTGCCATGCTGCGTTTCTCTACTTCCCTTTATGGTTTCCTGCAGCTGAAATGCAGAAATTCGCCAGCTTATATTATCATTATTTCGCTTGTTTGCCCAGGAAAGAGTCACGTGAGTCTTAAGACTAGAGTATTTCTCGGGAGGGACATGGGAAGTTTATTTTTTGCAGTAGCGGGGAGATGTTGCTGCGTGTTATCCACCACCCTCCACTCTACACACACACGCGTGCATACACACGGATTACATGCACACACGAATTACACACAGATTAGGGGCCGTCCATTAATGACGTCACGCGATTTTGGACGATTTTTTACCCCCCCCCCCCCCCTCGTCACACGACGTCACAAAAAGTCAGACCCCCCTCAAATATGACGTCACAAAGCTCTGCCCCCCCCCCCCAAACCATATTTCCATTTTGAAAATAAAACATGCTTCAAATCACTTTAAACTATTGTCATTGTAGTCCGTATTTAATGTGGCGCTGCACTCTGAGGTTGTAGGAGAAAACATGTATTAAACAGAAGGCGTTGGAATTTAGCATAAAATTCACTTGAAAATATTCAACGTCTAACTAAAACTGCAGATGTTCAGAATATTATATTGAAATTCTCTTATAATAAAAAAAAATATTAAAAGTAATTATAACTATTAAAAATGCTTAAAACTTTGTAGTAGAACGAAGCAATTCTAACAATCACATGTTCATTCCACAGAATGAAAAGCCCAGGTAGAATCATTAGAATCAAAATTTTGAATAAAAATCATTCAAAATTTTTACAAAATGTATGCTTCTCCATTCTCCCATGGAGACGCAAAAAACTCCTTCATAGAATAAATAAAAGTTGACCGTAGTAAATGTAAATAATAAAAAATTCAAGTTAATAATTAAAATATAATAAAAAATATATTTAATCTTGATTTGACTGCAGGAATCCATACTCTGGTTGTTTCGGTAAAGTCACGTAGGTAGAAAAGAAAATAAATCACGACGTTTCGGCGCAACACAAGCGTCCATCATCAGGTGGGAAAGCATGCTTGAATTCTATTCAATTACTATTTATTTAAAGTTGCGCATTTTGATGTGACGTCACATTTCTCAAACCCCCCCTCCCCCGCTCGTCACACATCGTCACAAATGTCTGACCCCCCCTCCCCCCTAGGTGCGTGACGTCATTTATGGACAGCCCCTTACACGCACCCACAGATTACACTCTCACGGGTGCTGGCACAACTGACCCTCTCACCTGCACCGCGAGTCAGAGCGACGAGGCTCAGCACCGTAACGAGATGGTGGAGCATGGTTCCCGACAGCAAACAGAGCCCCACTCACGGACTATTCCCTTGCAGCTCACTGCCCCTTTCCTCGTCGCTTCCCCTTCTCCAATCACCGACAATCATCTCCCACTTCCTCCCACGCCCATTCTGCCATGCTGCGTCTCTCGACTTCCCTTTCTGGTTTCCTGTAGCTGAAATTCATAAATTCGCCAGTTTATATTATCATCCTACCTATAAACGTAATTGTTTTATCTGTCTGTGTGTGTGTGTGGACACACCTTGTGCCGCATTTAACTCACAAACTGCTAGCTTTACGTTTCAACAAACTACACACGACGCAATAAGCCCCCGACCAACAAATCGCAATTTCTTTTTCCCATCCGTCAAATGTAAAGTAGTTAAATTAGCAATTTTTTACAATTTATTATTATATTACTACACTGAGCGTGCGCCAAACCACGTATCTGCGCATGCGCGGAAGAGCTGACACGTGGGGGCAGAGAAAAATTATCATTTGCGTTAAAAACAGCCCAGCCCCAGCCGGCCAAGGCTCCACCTCGGCTGGCTGAGCAATCTAGACGAGGTCGGGGGCTCTGCACGCGACCGCACTCTGTGAAGTTAGTAGTTAGTACTATAGAGTCGATATATACTATTATTGAGTCAGTAGATGCGACTATAGAGTCGGTATATACTACTGTAGAGTAGGTAGAAATACTGTAGCGTTAATATATACTGCTATAGAGTCGATGGATACTATTGTATCGACATCGTGAATGTCACTGAGTAATGCCGGCTCTAGCGAGGCACGGCGTGCAATGCACCGTCATCGCGGACACCCCGTAGGTGGGTGTAGTACCAGCCCTAGAGGGGGCTCAGTGAGCGCTGTGATAGCGCTCAGTGGCACCACACGTAGCGTACAGTGCTAACTCCTACAGGAGGGAGTGTGAGAGTGTCAGCCATGGGATGAGGTTACCCTAGGCCATGCCACTCTGGTTGACCCTGGAAGGCACGTGACCAGTAAGATCTACACAGGGGCTCCACGTGGGGGCTGGGGTGGTCACGTGCCAGGGTGAGATCCTGCGAGATGGTTCGAGGTGGTCGTGACCAAAGGCGGGGCCAGCCACAGCCAGTGAGCATATAAACCGGGTCCCTTCAGCGTTGCTGTTGTCATCTGAAGATCTACGATCTATGTGGACGAGGACCTAAGCCAGGGTCCTGTCCGTTGTAGCTACTCCCAGTAACTAGCGTAGTTAGCCTGGTGGTCCACCACCATAGATTATCTGGTAAAGGGGCAGTATCCCCTTTGTGTTAATGTGTTGGTGTTAATAAATGTGTTGCCTCCAAAGAGTATGTCTGCGACTCAGTTGAATCCACTGCACTATTATAGAGTCAAGTAGATACTACTACAGTCAGTAGATACTACTACAGCCAGTATATACTACTGTAGTGATAGCAGATACTACTACATTCAGTGTACACTACTGTATTGATAGCAGATAATACAGTGAGCATATGCTACTGTAGTGACAGTAGCTACTAATACAGTCAGTATATAGTACTGTAGTCATAGTAGATGCTGCTATCGAGTCGGCAGATACTACTATAGAGCCAGTAGATAGTACCAGTTAATAGATACTACTACGGTCAGTAGTTACTACTGTATAGTTAGTAGTTACTACTGGAGAGTTAGTAATTACTATAGTCAGTGGATATTACTATAGTCAGGAGATACCTCTATAGTCAGCATATATTACTGCAGAGTCGGTAGATACGACTATAGAGTCAGTAGATACTGCTATAGTCAGCAGATACTGCTATAGAGTATGCAGATACTACTAAAGAGTCAACAGATACAACTATGGAGTTAGTAGTTACTACTATAGTCAGTAGATACTACTATAGTCAGTATATACTGCTGCAGAGTGGGTAGATACGACTATAGAGTCAGTAGATACTGATATAGTCAGCAGATACTGCTATAGAGTCTGCAGATACTACTAAAAAGACAGCAGATACTACTATGGAGTTAGTAGTTACTACTAGAGTCAGTAGATACTATCAAGTCAATAGATACTACTATAGATTCAGTAGGTACTACTATAGTCATTAGATACTACTGCAGAGTCAGTAGTTACTATCTATAGAGTCGGTAGATACTGCCGTAGAGTAACTAGATACTACTATAGAGTCAGCAGATAATACTACAGTCAGTAAATTCCACTACAGTCAGTATATACTGTTGCAGAGTCAAAAGATACGACTATAGAGTAAGTAGATACTGCTTCAGTCAGCAGATACTACTATAAAGTCAGCAGATACTACTACTATTGAGTCAGTAGATACTGCTATAGAGTTAGTAGTTACTACTATAGTTAGTGGATACTACTGTAATGACAGCGTGACACCTGCTGGCTTGAAAAGGGAATCACGGGTACGGGCATGGTTAAGTAACAACCAATCAGAGAAGGAGCTGTATCTGGGCCAAAGGTAACAGGAATCTGCTCGAAGGTTTGATGAGAGGGTGTGCCCAGAAGCGGGGCCTAGTCACGCCTGGGGGTATATAAGGGGGAGCGGACCCAGGGCTCGGGGCTTGTGCATGGGGTCTGGGTCCTGGCTACCTCGCTGCTTGCCGTCATTTCTCTCCGTCGTCCGGCCACGTGGAAGATCTCCTGCGGGGTTTCCATCGCCGACATCGTCACGCTGCCAACCAGCGGCGTAGCCGAGCGTAGGCGATGGGACCATGCTGAGTGATCGGCTGTGTGTAGCCCGTAGAGACGTTAGTACCGAAGAGTATATATCCGTGTGAGGAAGGACAAGTGTTGGCCTGTGTTGTGCCCAGTGTGATTAATAAAGACAGTGCCCTCGTAATGACGTGTCGCGGAAGTCGCTCATTACATTGGAGTCAGAAGTGGTTGGAAACATAAATTTGTTCTAGACAGCTAGAAAGAAATATGTCTAAACATCAGAAAAAACGGAACCCAACTGTGGCGTCTTCCGACAACGATGAAAATGCGACCCAAGACCTCCTACCAGCCCCGGGAACTGTGGTCCCGGTTATTGAAGCCACGGCCATTTCAGTTGGCTGCGCCAGAGGCAGTGGATCCGGGAGCAGCCACTCCACGCCAGCAGCCCGAAGATGGCTGGAGGATGGTGTCGGCACAGCTGGACCTGTTGCGAGCGGTTGTCGTGCAGTTGGCAACGCTCATCGCAGAGACTACGGTGGCGGGGCGCTCTGCATTCACTTCGCCAGGAAGGAGCGACCAGAAGTCGGGAATTGACATTCTGCAGGAACGTCCGCAAGCGCGACGGCCGGAATTACACATGGCGTGGAGAACACGCAGCCGGAGGCCGCCATTATGGCCGGCATGGGGGAAGCGCGGACGGAGTCCGCCATTTTATAAAACAAGCATGATATGCAAGATGCGGCAATGACCGCTAGAAACGAGGAAAGAGGAACAAAACATACTCGCAGATTACCTCAGATTAAAGAATTTGTCGCCGCAGGAGGCGGTTGGAGCACCTTCCACCTTCCGACACGCACAGGAAGTTTCTTCAGCGTAGGCGAGGGGAGGCCGAGACGCCTATCGCAGCACACTGTTGGCGTTAGCGGGTGGCGTGAATCCGGAGGCCCTCGACTTGCTCGTCATGGAAC